GGCTTTGACACGACCCTCGTGTTTGTTGCTTCCATTTAGCGGAAATTGGCAAACCCAACACGCTTTTCCCGCTACGTGTTTGCAAGCCGGGAAAATTCTCATTGATTTTCCCACCAAAAACGTAAGAGTGGTATCTGTGGGATATACACGTGTGTGTGTGTGTCTGCTCTTGATTTATGGGCTGTAACTCTTAACTGTATTTGTATCTCTATCTCTAGCCACATATATGTATCTGTATCTTTTCGCCTGCTTCCTGTCTCTTGCAGATCTCATACCCCCCGCCCTCCGTCGGAAAGAAGGAAACTCTGGAAGCGAATTTCCCTCCACAGCAGAAAAAAGAAAACCGAAGAAGTATAGCAACAAAACCAGCTGAAGTAGCAGCTACACAACACAAACAGAAACCAAATTGCAATGACGTAAGTTTACAACGCATGCTAGACAATCAATAGATACAACTTGCGCGTATCTGATATCTGCCAGATACAAGCTGTTGCTCTTGTCAATCGCCCGTGAAGGACATTTCAATTAGGCAAATGACAATTTTCTGACTTTCATTCAAATTGAGTTCAATTCACAGATTCTCCAGAGAGAGACCTTCACATTCTACTTCTGAAATTCTACTTGTCACCTCTAAATAAATAATTGTTTATTAGGTTTATGGGTTGCCCTATTTTTGGGAGGGTTTTGATAGGTAAAAATTATAAGGGAAGTGACTTGAGGATTATATTAATTGTAAGTTTACCTTTCTAAAAACAAAATAAAACTAGAAGATGGTTATTTAATGAAAAGATTCTTGACTTTTCAAAACTATCTTAGGATCAATAGGGAAATTACCTTTAACTAATCTTTTATTTTGGCTGAAAATACCTTATATAGTTCCTATTTTTTTCAATCTACAACTAAGCCTTATCGCTAAGGCTAATATAAACATCTTCTTGCTAAATAAGTTTATTAATCTTCACTTTAATTAAACTTGTAATATGTTTATCTTCTCCAACTTCAAATCAATTTCACGCAGACGCCCTAATTCCCTATAAATTAGTTAACCTGACACCTCTGAAAATTGATGTCTGTGAAATTTATGGGTCAACCTTTGAGTCCCCATCCCCCTCGATTTCCTTGAAAATTTATGGCAAACCCAAGCCCAGTTTCCCCTCTGTGGGGAATGGGGCCTTAATTTTCGGGGAACTGGAACAGCAAGCAGCTCCTCGTTTCGTTTATTAATCCCCATAATTTGTTTGGTCTAAAACAGCGATGGGCACGCAGTGGCTCAATTTGCTCACGCTGCTCAAACCGTTATCTTTTTTCGGAGGCGCCAGCATGTCGCACAATTGCAGACGCACAAGTGCAGTGCTCGCGACCAGCGAACCGTGAAGATTTACAAAAACAACCACACTGATCTTTGGCGCAGGTAGCGAGCACATCCCCGCGATCCCGAGTTTGCAACAACAAAACACAAGCGACCCGAACTCGCACATCGTCCCAAAAACAAGAACAATTTTAAAGGGAACTGTGCGGCTAGCGTTGACTTCTGCACTAAAGAAAAAAGTTTGGATTTCTTTTGCAGGCCTTTTTTTTTAGGCGGACATAAATGCACGTAAAAATGGCTGAAGATATTGATCTACTCAAAAAGTTTTTGTCAGTGTATTTTCTCGGCTCGCACATTCTGTGTGTCGCGTGGGTGCGACGGTTCGCAACGCTGGGGGTTGTTGTTGTTTTTTTTTTTTTCAGCGAGCTGCTGCTCAAACCGTTAGATCTCGTGCCCATCGCTGGTCTAAAAGCTGGGGTGCGGCCGGTGGCAGGCCTGCCATTTGGGGAGTTTGTTCACTGAAAATGCTGGTAAAACCAACCTCCCTCACTATATATAAATGAATTGTGAATAAGCAAAAACGCTGCAAGTTTGCGTTTTATATTATTTTTTGTTGTTGTATATTTTTTTTTCTACATTTTGGGTGTGTCATCATTAAAATGCTGTCTCCAAGGAAATCCGGTGACACTGCTGCGAGTGCTTTAAAACTTAATTTCTGCGCAGCTTTTCCTTTCGAAATTGTGTCCAGTTTGGGATCGCAGCTCGATGGGTAACATTTGTCCCACGGAACCGCTCGAGGGGAGTCTTCCAAATAGGTGAGAGGAGTGAAGTGCATCTGGCGCCAGTTCAATAAATGCATCCATCAGTTTAAAGTGCTTGGAATTCTATTTATTCTTGGTCGGTAATTGCCGCCTTATCGAGTGCATTAATCGAATCGAATTTCGGGAAAAGAACTCAAATTATTTTCCAAATAAAGAGCTCCGAAAAAATTCTACAAAAAAAACCCCTCAAGTTTGAGGACAAACAGAAATACTCTTATAACCCAAAAGTATGTTTTTTGTCTTGTTTGCCGGCGAACAAACGAAACGAGTTTCGGTTTTTCGGTCATTATTTGTATTTGAGTTTCAGTGGGATATTCACACAAGTAAATATGAGTGGCAATCCAGCTTTAATCCTTTCGTGCTTCGAGTTGCGAGCTTCGAGCTTGATTGAAGGCGGTTTCAATAAGCTGAATGGATCCCAACGCATCGTCACCTGTGCCTGGGGATGGGGGAGTCCAAGGAGCAGGAAGAGTTGGCACAACAGTTGTTGTAGTGTGACCCAAATCCAGGCTTTTGTCGAGCTTTATGAGTGACTGTTACACGGAGAAAAATATTATAAGGATTTGGAAATTTTTCGTGACAAAAAAAAGGGTATTTAGTAGAATAAAAACAAAACGTACACAAAAAAGTGCATATAATTTATAATATAGTCTTGGCTGTCGAGCTGCCACCTTAAAATTTGTGCTGAACCATGAAGTATGACTTTCTTTTAGTTTAGATTCTTTAAAAAATGTTCCTTAAATTAGGTTTTTTAAAAGGTTTTTCGTTTTGTCTATGTTTTTTAAACATTTATTTAATTAACATGCTTTTCCCTCAGTGTAGCACCAGCAGGAAGCTCTCCTCCCTTTTTTTTGACGAGTTTATCGCGTAGTGATATTCGATATTGATTGGGACAGCCCCTCCTTTCCCTCCGGTCTCCTCCAGATTGAGCACTTCTCGGTGTTTGCCCTGGGCAAACCGTGTTGGGTCTCCTGACTCTGACTCCGACTCTGTGTGCCGCCTGGCAACCTACTTTGTGACTGCTCACATGTGTGGGCTATGTTTGTTTTCATTCTTATTTTCAGTTTTTTTTCTGTCTGTCTGTCTGCCTGCGGGTCCACATGGATTATGGGTACTCCATCGCCGAAAGAAACCAGAGATACATTTTTTTTTGTTAGTTGCCAAATCATTTAAGCCGCGGCACACGCTCTCTGGACCAAAAACTGAACCGAATTGAACCATTCTGACAGAGCCATTAAAGCTAGACGATAATCAGAGATCGGTGAACCGCCAACGAGCAGCACTACAACCACTTACAATGGGCCACAATAATGTTAATTGGAAATTACGTTTAGGAATTGTTGGCTAAAGGCGAAACAGAAACAGAAACTCCCAAAGAGAGCTCTCTGAACTCGTTGAGATTTACAATTTTTTTTTTATATATGAATTTTTCATAACATGCCACAAGCTGTGCACAACACCGCTCTTAACCGCTCAAAACCCCCGCCTTTAAGCCGCCAAAGAACAGTTGAAAATAGTGGAGAAAAAAAAAAAAAAAAAGGCAGAGAGCAGGAAAAATACTTGTAATAGTCACTCGAGGGGGAAATATAAATTATTGAGCTCGTTTCTTAAGTAATTATCGCACTGCCGACATACGGATGGTTGGACGGACGGAACTCACTGAATCACAGACTGACCGAATGACTAACTGACAGATGGACGGATAGACTGGTTAAAGCGACGGTCACGAGACGTCGTCGTCGACGCGGATTTTGTATTTTTTGTTGTACTAGAATTGCCAGAAGCAGCAGAAATAAAGCCCCAAGCTCAACTTTGTAAGTTTGAGCGTTTATCTGGGGTTACACTGCCAAAGGGTACTTGAAAACTATGATTATGTTATTTTTAAAGCCTATAAATAGCTTCAAATGTAATAGGTTTCTGAGAGATTATGGGTTTATATGGGATTTATATCGGTAATCGTAGTTCGATGATATAGAGACATAAATCTAGCTTAAAAATATCGAAAATAACGTAAAGTTTGGTATATCGGAAATTAAAGTATTGAAATATCGAGAAATATCGAATTTAAAATTAAAATCGTTATGGACAAACAAACATCCGAAAATTGTTTTATTATAATATCAATTTACAGAACATATATCGAAGAATATCGGTTTATATATTGAACATCATCTATCGATAAATATAGTTTTATATAAATATCAATAAATGATCGATATATCGATATTTAAGAGCTTTTAAAACTTGAATTTCCCTCTAAAAATATCATTCTTTATACTTTTTTATATAATTAACTTAAATTTAAATCAATTGATGTTGAAATTATAAAGAAAACAGCTTAGCTGTGAGTCAAACTAAGAAGTAACATTGTAAAATCGTTTAAGAAGCTCTCTAAAAGAAATCCCTAGACTTCAAATCCATTTTCCCATTTTGTAAATATTCGATAAAGAGTGTATTTTCTTTAATAGTTGCTATAGCGGCATATAGTTTCCCCTTTTAATTGTCATGGCATTTGGGAATCTTCTGTGGCTGCTGTGAGGCAGGTTCCGCTCCATCTACTACTTACATCTACCTACCTGGCCATTATGCTCGGTTCTCATCTCGGGGGTCAGCTCATCTTCCTCAGCATCATCACCACCGGCACACACATCTCATTTCTCATTATTTTATTGACTTTGAAGTGTAATTATTTGCCTTTTAGGCGAACCGCCAAGCCAGAGATCGAGCGAGCGAGCAAGCGAGAAAGAGACCCAATCTCCGGCAAGAGAGGAGATTGTGGAGCAGCAGCAGCCGCAACACAGCTCATTTTCTCACTTGTTCGCTCACGTTTTTTGCTCGATCATTCGGGCTTTGTTTGTCTTGGCCTCGAGCCGGAGATTGTTTCGGTCTGAGACCCGTCTCGATCTCGGTCTGGATCTCTGGCACTTGGCTTCAGTCTCCAGCGGGTCTTGAGTGCGAACAGACGTGAGCAGAGCAGAGATCGGTGAACGTAGATCGCAGATCGCAGTTTGCAGTGTGAACCAGTGGGCAGAGATTCGATATAGCCTAGGCAAACATTGCGACGACATTTCCGAGTGGGATCGATCGTGGGATCTCTCTAGTGTGTGTGTGTGACGCCTCTGCAAATATTGGCCAACGGTTAATGGCCATGAAGAAGCTCTATGCCAAGACCTCGTTCACCAGCAAGAAGCCGACCAATGTCTCGAACTCTTCACCGATTTTGGCCTATCACCATCAGCAGCACCAGCAGCAGCAGCAGCTGCATCCTAGTGGCAACGGGATATGCGAGTTCCAGGTGGCTCCAGCTCCACCCGGAGAGCTGCTAATCCGTCGCAGCCAGAGTATGCATCACAAAATGTCACCTCCCGTTGGCAAGTCGGAGTATTATAGCATAGAGGAGCTGCAGGAGCTGGATCTGTTGGATTATCGTCATCCCATGTATCATCACTATCAGCAGCAGCAGCAGCAACAGCGCTACCATGAGCACGAGAAGCTGGTGCTGCAGTTGCCCAAGGCTGGACCCATTTACGAGGCGCCTCAACAGAGATCTCTTCAGCAGCAGCAGGATCAGACGTTGTATGTACCCAGGGAACCAGCTGCAGATACAGCCTCATCGATAGCCAGTTCATCATCATCCACTTTGACCTCATCATCCCCTAGCTCCTCTTCGTCTTTGATCTTTTCCACTCTTCGGAAATGCGTTTCCCCCTCGAATTCATCGAATACCCCGACGATTACCAGCCAATCCTCGCGTACGCAACCCTCCAAACTGGGCTGCTCCATGTCGTTTTCAATTAGAACCACAGCAGCAACACTAGCAACAGTCACACAGCAGCAGCAACAGACACAACAGCCGCAGCAGCAACATCAGCAGCAGCAGACACAACACAAGCCACATCTCTATAGCAACATACATCATTATCTGCTCCAACAGAAACAACATCACACATTACAGCGTCGCCACAATTCGGTCAAAGATAAATTCATTGGGGGCATTACAACGATTTTTGCGTATGTGTAACCCACCTACCCCCCAAACGTCTGTCTGTCCTTGTAATAATCCCCATTTTTCCGCACTTTACTCTTACTTCTTCACGTAGCTGTGGCAGGTTGGCCCTGAGCAGCGGGCAAAAATCAAAGAACTCTCTGCAAAACTGCTCTCCATTTAATCATAATTATAATTTAACGCCAATTAAGCTGGAAAACGCTTTCGTGTGTACACACACGAATCTGCATCTTAAAAACTATATAAAAAACTAAAGAAAAAACTGAAAAAAGTAAAGCTTAACGCACGAATAAATCCCCTTGGGGGCTTGGAAAATTTCACCTGCCACTTTGTATATGGAAAATACGCTTCAAGGGGGCAGATCAGTGGCTCAATTATAGGCATCATATACTGCAGACCCATAATATAGGCAGGCAAGCATCCATTAATCTATTTTGTTGGGCACTTTTCAATATTCATTTGGGGGTTTTCAGGCACACAGAGAGGAAATGGTGTATTGAAATTGGGGTTAGCTTTGAGTAATTTGTTTTTAAAGCATTATTTGAATATTTTTAAAGTATGCAGAACAGACATGTGTTTTGAATACTCTTAATGATTTTTATGAATGATTCATTTCATTCATTAACTCAAACGTACATTAGTAATAGTAGTTTTTACTATACATTTAACACGTTTTGTATGCTCGACTTATGTGCAATGAGAGCAAAGATTTCTTTGTTTAAGTTGAGTCACAAAGCTTTAAATTTGTCACAATTTTAAAGGAAAATAAGTCATTATTTTCCTTAGATTAAGAATGAGTAAAGTAAAGTAATGCTAAGAAACAAAAGGAATTGATTCTGAGTATATAAAGCTAAGATATATTCCAGTTCCCTCACCAGCATTAACTTAGAATTCATTTTTAAACCAAGGAACTACAGCCTGCAGATCTAGACAACTATCTGCCATAGACTAAATGTCTTGTAAAAGTTTAAATTATAAAAAAATATTTATTAATACCCCCTTTTTTCGCTGTGTACGCAAAAAACTTCACTTTCGTTGCCACGAATTCGATGCAAATCAAAGGCAGTCGTTCGGCTTGGCTCTGGCGATCTGTTGGCCGTTTGTTATATAAGGCCCTGAGACCGTACTCGTGCGCGCACAGCTGTGGCCAGAGCTCGGGTTCGGATTCGGGTTCCGTCCAAGTGTCTTTGCCGCCGATCTGCGCACTCCATTTAAGTGCAAAACTACTAGCGGCTTTTGGCCAAGCCAAGTCTGAGGTCTGACCAGGCTGGGAGAATTCTGCAGACTCGACTCGTTTGGCGGCGGCGGCTCTCCGTCATTATCTCTCACAAAACGCGGAGCACGTCGCCACTCGGAGTCACTCTGGAGCAGTGCAAGGAAAACAAAAAAACCAAGCCAGCTAGCAGGCAGCATAAAAAAAATAGAGAAAAAAGACAAAACGAAGCTAGAGCCAAGCTTGAGCAAAAGGCAAGGCAAGGCAACACAACTCGTCATCGCCTTTGCATTTTTCCAATGAAGGCGTTCATTTGCTGCGACTGCTGCTGCTGCTGCTTCTAGCCATGTTTACACTCGGCAGCAGACTTTAATTGTCAACCTGGGCAAGAAAGGAGGGAATAAAATGCTAAAGGTTGAGAGCCAGCCGCAGACTATATACGTTCATATATTAGAACTTTCATTAGAATCATTTAATCGGTCCGTGCGACTGCATGACAGGTGTGTGAGCACACAAAGAAATGCATTGCACTTCCTGTCCTGGAGTACTAGTGGGGGGAGGGGGGATTTATACGTGATTCTCGGGGGGATTAGAGGTAGAAGAAGGGAGGTAGGACTGTGTGATAGATCAAAGCCCTTGCTCACTTGGAATCGTGTGAAAACTCTGGCAGTTGGAGGCCTCCAAGAGGGAAGCTTTAGCCGAGGAGGAGTTCTAATGATCTGCAAAACGATTTCTTCTCATTTGCGGCATTCCTTCTAAAGAAAAACTATCTTAATCGAGTTTAATAAGTTATTTTTAAGATGGGGTAATTAAAGGAAGTCTGTTATTCTTTGGAACTTGAATTTTAATTACTATTGGAGATGTATATAAACCTCTATATGATATATGGGCACAAATATTGTATTTGTTTTGAATTGTATAGTATCGAATTGTGATATTTTATACCATATTTTATTGCAATCATTCATTCTTTCTATTCTTAAAGAAGAAACTTCTTAATGAGAAAACTATGGAACCAGTTTAAGGCTTTATTTAATCTTTTATAAGAACAAAACGATATAATTTGGAATGTTAATTAGGCTCAGCTTCCGTTCTTTCTTAAATAAAGGTGCGAAAAATCTCCCAAGTGTGCACATATAATTCCCAACCAGTTCTAGAAGTCCTGGAATGAAGTGGGGACTGTCGGTCTTGGGCGTGCTTGTGTGGGTACATGTTTGTGATATTACATATGTGTTATTAGATATAAGTTATTGAATATGAGCTTTACATAGTTTACTTAACCTAAAATAAACTTTATTTAAGGTAAACATTTTAATGAGTGTAGAAGTTTTCATAATCTTTGTATACTCCTATACTAGACCCCTTTTCTGTTTTCCCTAAAGGTTATCTGATATCAATTTGTATATAAATTTCTCAAGACGTCTTTCTCAAGCTCTCATCTTTTATTTCTCATTCATTTTCTCATCTCAAAAAAATATCCTTCTTAAAATACTCCTTCTAATTAAACTCCTCCTTCGTTCTCTTTCCAGTGAGCAAAGCATAATCGGGGCCAGGGCCTCCGTGATGGTGTACGATGACAACCAGAAGAAGTGGGTACCCTCGGGCACTTCGTCCGGACTGAGCAAAGTGCAGATCTATCACCATCAACAGAACAACACGTTCCGTGTGGTGGGGCGGAAGCTGCAGGATCACGAGGTGGTGATCAATTGCTCCATACTCAAGGGACTGAAGTATAACCAGGCCACAGCCACATTTCATCAGTGGCGCGACTCAAAATATGTCTACGGTCTCAACTTTTCGAGTCAAAGCGATGCGGAGAACTTTGCCAGGGCCATGCATCATGCTTTAGATGTCAGTTACTTAAGTTAAAACATAAACTTTAAGTTTAAATGAATTCTTTAATTGTTTCTTTAGGTGCTCAGCGGTCGGGTGGCTAATAATCCAGGTGGTCAGCCCACTAATGGCAATGGTTATGAGGAGGATATGGGGTATCGCACAATGACCAGCGAGGATGCGGCTATTCTGCGGCAAAACAATGGCATTGGCGGCCATACCACGCCCTCAGCTCAGACGCCCACCTCGCAGACCAATCAAAACAGCATCCCCCAGAGCCCGCCGACGCCACAGGGACATCATCGCACCAGCAGGTAAGGAGGTGTCTTTTAGGAACTTGTTTTTTAATGTTTTGGTTATTTAAAACGAAAAATGACAATTTTTTGAGGGAAGAAATCTATTAGAGAAGAAGCTAAGAACAAACAAATTACATTTACAATTACTTTAGATAGCTTATTGGCTTTGTTTGCCCTTAAACTGTTTCTGTTAGAATCTGCATATTGAGTTTTATATTTATTTTTTAAAAGACCTGCAATGTACAAGCAAGCCAGAAAGAAATTTCACTTATAAGCGTACCAGAGAGTATTTTAGCGTCATTTTCTTTCTCTGAGAGAGGGATTTTGGTAAAGGGTAAAAAAAATTAAAGTAAAGCAAGGAAGAACCAAAGAATTACGCTTTGTATTTAATAATAGAATTAATAACTAGATTACTCATTTAAAAGAGCAACTCCATGAGCACTTGAACCCTTATTTCCGTTAACGTAAGCGTGCCTCATCGATCACATCACTCATTGATTCCATACCCATATATCGACGAACCTTTGCTCACCCAAAAAGGAATTCCCTCAGCGCCCCGCCGGCACCGCAGCCCCAGCAGCAACAGCAGCAGCAGGCGCAGCAGATGGGTCAACCAGGGTCCCACTACGGACCCACTGGCAATGGACCCACACCGAATGGCCTGCCTCAGCAGGTGAATCCACAGATACCGCCGGCACCGCAGCAGCAACAGCAGCAGACGCCGCAGCAGCAACAGTTTCAGCAGCAGCAACAGCAGCAGTATCAACAGATGGTCCAGGTCCAGGCGGGCTATGCGCCCAACCAGGTGGTGAGTGCCCAAGGGCCTTTAACCTCGCCCCATTTCCCACACAGTCCTCATGCCGTATTTCTGTTTCATTTCATTCGCAAATTGGCTTGATCCTGAACCTGAACTTGAATCTGAATCCACTGAAAAAACCCCGAAAACCCCGCACCACCATTACCACCAGCAGTATCAGCAGCCCCACTACGTGCTCTCCAATTCTAATCCCAATCTCACTGTGCATCAATACCCAACACAGCAACAGCCCCAACAGCAGCAGCAGCAGCAGGCGCCACAGCCGCCACCGCTCCAAAACGGTGGCATGTATATGGTGGGTCCACCCGGTCATCTGCCCAGCTCGGCGAGTGCCAACAGTGTGGTCTATGCCAGCCAGCAGCAGATGCTACCGCAAGCGCATCCACAGGCGCCTCAAGCGCCCGCGATGCCTGGCCCAGGCTATGGTGGTCCACCAGGACCTCCACCCCAACAGCAAGCGGAGAATCCCTATGGCCAGGTGCCCATGCCGCCGCCCATGAATCCGTCACAGCAGCAGCAGCAGCCCGGTCAGGTGCCGCTCAATCGCATGAGCAGCCAAAGCGGTGGCGGTCCAGTTGGTCCGCCGGCTCCTGCTCCGCCTCCGCCGCCGCCCAGCTTTGGAGGAGCACCGGGTGCTCCGCCAGCGCCGCCACAGATGTTCAATGGCGCACCGCCGCCGCCACAGCCACCGGCACCACCAGCGCCGCCAGCCATGGGTGGGGGACCCCCACCACCAGGTGGGCCAGGCGGTCCAGGAGCTCCACCTCCGCCGCCACCACCACCAGGCTTGGGTGGAGCGTCCAAAAAAGACGATCCCCAGGCTGATCTCATGGGCTCGCTGGCCTCGCAGCTGCAACAGTTTAAGCTCAAAAAGAATAAGGTGAGTTTGGATTGGGTTTATTTTCAAAGAAATCCTTTACAAAGATCCTAATTAATCCTTACAGTCCACCACATCTGCTCCGGAGAACAGTGGCAGCAGCACCTCCAGTGGAGGCAGCGGCAACTATGGCACCATTGGCCGCAGCTCCAATGGCATGGCCTCCATGATGGACGAAATGGCCAAGACGCTGGCCAGACGACGCGCCCAAGCCGAGAAGAAGGATGTGAGTATGCCTCGCTTTCCTTGAAAAGCTCTTTCTTTACAATATGAATATTTTCCAGCCCGAGCCAGAGCCCGAGGTGAAACAGCGACCCTGGGAAAAGTCCAATACGCTGCCCCACAAGCTGAGTGGTGGCGCTGGCAATGGCTCGGCAGGCCATGGTGGAGCGAATGGCAGTTCGGGCGGAGGAGCTGGCAGCAACACAACGAATAGCGGCGGCGAATCACCGCGACCCATGCGAAAGCGATTCGGCAGTGCCAGCGAGGAGACCATACTCAAGGTGGGTTTGTAATCTCATCTAAAAGAGCTTGAAATAAATCGATTTTCAGTTTATCGATCTTACAAAAAAATTATACAAAATTAATCGATTATTGTTAAAACGAAAATGAAAAAAATAATATTAAAATTCCTTTATTCATCATAAATTAGTAATTTTTTTCAGTGTATCGATTTTTTTTTTTAAATGTAAAAAATGCAAATTTAAAAAATTTAAATATTTAAAAATCTAAAAATACTTTGATTAAAATCTAAAATGTAAAAAATCAATTAATCGATCGATTATAGATCGATATTATCTAGCATTTTATCGAAACAATTCTAATCTCTCATACTCAAAGCAGGTCAATGGCGATGGGCTGTCGCTGGCGCTGTCCAATGGCGAGCTGGACACACTGAAGGCTGAGATAGTGCGGGAAATGCGACTGGAGATCCAAAAGGTCAAGAACGAGATCATAGATGGTAAGGGAAAACCCTTTAAAACCCGATTTATCTTATTAAATATTTATTTTTCCTTGTGTCAGCTATCAAATCGGAGTTCAATCGCAGATAGATCAAAGTACTTTCACATTAAGCGCCAAAAAAACGGGGCATTGCAGCTCCGCCTCAACTCCCACCGAATGCGCTGGCAGATCAGGATGTGGAGTCAGGAGAGGAGCAGAGCAGCGGCAGCCGGGGGCGTGTAATTTAAGACATTCGCAAAGTATTTCGAGGATCGAGGCTCGCAACATTGCCAGAATGTTGACGGATCGGTCAGCGAGTAAGAGAATACGCATACTTATGATGCACTTGCTCTAGGTTAACACAAACAAAACAACAAAAAAGAAAATAACACAAAAAGCCGAGAGGAGGAGACAAAAAGTTTAGTCAAAGTAATTATATATTTTAAACGGGAAGGAAGACCGACTTTTCCAAGTTATGTAACTAATAACTCAAATCCCTGTTGTACATTATTCTTTGCATATATAAGTCTTTTTTAAGCCAACTTTTTAGTGTGAGAACAAAAGATAATTGCTTGCAATCGGTATCGTATGTATTCCCCTAACCAAAGGCAATATAAAGGATAAGATGCGTAGCGTAAAATCATTTCAATGGCGCTACGCATCTTATTATTTATATTGTTCTGGCCCTTAACCACTCTCTTTCGTTTGTTATGAGATTTCCACCCTATGTTTCTTACCCAAACAAAAACAAAATCAAAATGAACAACGTTTGTAATTAAACTTGGAACGTATCTCTCTTTAAAAACACAAACAACAAAAGCATATACATATATATATATATACAGTTTATTACATATATATATATGGACATACTCATTAATACCTAAAACCTAAAGGGAAACTAGTATTACGACGACAAAGAATTCCACAAATTCCATCAGTCAGTCATCCAAAACAATGCGCATTTCCTCCAAAAACACAAAAGCCACAACATTTTCCTAAGCACACGATCTCATTAAACAAAAAAAAAACGACTCAATTTAAGAACCAGCTAAAGTCTTCAGTAAAAAATCAGCAAACACAACACAAGTTCAAAGCGGAATTGAGCGTGGTGTTCAGGACTCAGACTTGAACTAGAATAATCCCAAAAAATAAAAAAAAACCCTGCGAATACAGCGAAGAAAAATTAGAAAGCTAAATTAAACAATTGACTGCTGCGTATTATACACTTAAAACAAAATATATATTAAACATATATATATACTAAAAGATAATATTGTAAACTCCCAACCCAAGTAAAGGCCGGATTCTGAACATGTGCGTACCAATTCAACTTCCATTATACGATCTAAGACTTAAATAGCGAAATTATTGAATGATATATGATATGTAAAAGCAGGCCAAGCAGAAAAGGACGAGTAAGGATTGGGGTGAAGGAAACGAAAACGAAGAGAGAGAGAGCAAAGTTTAGTTCTTAAGGCATACAAAACGAAGTGAAATTGTTTATTAAGTGAAACAAAAAATCTTATTTATAATGAGGAGAGACAGAGAGAGTTGGTAGTTGTGTATAATTCGAATGCATATATACATTTTAATTTTTTGTAATTTAAAGCGATAATTTTACATATATATTATATATATATATATATATTGACTGTGCTCGATATATATGTGTGTGAAGATATAGATTATAATGTATATGTAATGGCTTGGTCGTCGATGTGTGTATGTAAATGTTATGATTTTTTGTATTTTTATATATGATCTTTGCATTGCGGCAACAAAAAAAAACCAACAATGGGGCAGCAATTAAATATTAAAAAATAAAAAGAAAAACACAAAAACAAGAACAACACACGTAAACTATTTTAAACGAGGCGCAGCGACGAGCGCCACTTTTTATGTATTAAATTAAATATATATATTATACACTTATATACAACCAGAATATTCAATATACATACAAGCCGGCATTGACTCGAGATCAAAATATATATAAAATAATTAAAAATCAGCAACGGATTCACTTAGATCGTTAAGCGGGGCGTAAGTTATATAGCAACCGGCGATCGGGCGATCGTACCGGAGCGGGAAAATAGTGGAAGAAGCGCAAAAACATTATATGCATATTCAAAAAAAAAACAAGAACGTACAGTGAAATAAACAAGCAACGTTTGTATGTAAAAAAAACCAAAGTGTGTATTTTTAATTACTTTATCTGAGGGGAAATTTTAAAACGTTTTTAAATGAAAACGTCTAAAATTAAAAAAAAAATATATATTTTTAAGGAGCTTTTACTTCCATTTTATTACATATCTAATTACAAAGGCCATAAAAGCATGTTAAATCTTTATTTGTATCAGGAACTGTTAAAAAATTTTAATTTTTATTTTTCAAATATAAAAATTAATTCAATTTATGATATTTTTTTATTAATTTCAAAGAAGATAATATTTATATCATTAGATTTCAGTGAAAATATAAAATATTTAAAAAACAAACGTCACAAATTAATGATTATTAATGATTTTTATTTGTTGCTTAAAATAAAACTCCAAAGAAAATCACAAGTAATAGGACTCAAAATTATTCAAAGTTTTTTATTGTATGTATTTTATCAAAAATAAGAATTATTTTAAATTTGTTTTATCTCTTTTACTAAAATCTATTTTTACGATATATCTTTTGTTTTTTTTATATATCCCTGATTTTTAAGATTTAATTTATAATATTAAAATGTTTAAAAAGTGTGACATCGTCAAAGTTTTTGTTGAAGTCATGTATAGTGTAATCTTGGCATTTTCTTTACAATCGATAGTATCGATGTACGGGAATCGATCTTTTCCCCATCTCTAATTCCCTTAGCTTTTCAACACTCACCGTTCAAAGAATTGCGCATTTAGCTTTAAATTTGTCCATTTTCCTCGCCTAAAACGAAACTTCAACTAGTATTTGATAATGGAAACTTTAAGCAGCGCTCCGCAGTTGCTCAGAGAGCCTGTATCCTTTGCGTGAGTACTGAAATTGCAGGTTATAACATGATCTCACCCAGGATCCTTTTCTCTTACCCAGCCAACTCGTGGACAAGGGCGTCGAGTTCGAAATGGACGAGGCGCAGTTCAAGTACGACGAGGACAGTGACGAATTCGAGGATTGCGAGGAGGACTCCCAAGGAACAGAAGCCCTCCGTTCGCCCTGGCTGCATCCCTTCGACGAGCTGCGCGCTCTGATGCAGCCCATCGGCGAGCACATCTTCAAGCGGATCATCCGCCAGGGCCACGTGGATCGTGACCCGGTGCCGGACAAGGCGCGTGTCTCGATGCGCTATAGCGGCTACTGGGAGGGCGTGGGCGCCCCCTTTGACTCCTCGCTGCTGCGCGGCACCAAGTACGAATTCGAGACTGGCACAAATACAGTTCTTGAGGGACTGGAGGCCGCTGTGCGTACCATGCGTCCTTACGAGCAGGCCGAGTTCATAATCTCCTACAAGCTGCTCTTCCGAGAGCTGGGCTGTCCGCCTCGCATCAAGCCCATGGCCGATGGGCTGTTCAAGATTGAAGTCATAGACTATACCCTGATTGGGGATGGGCAGGCCATGGAAAATATACCCAAGGAGGATTGCGACAAGTTCTGTGTGGTGTATCCCAAGGCCCAGGATTTGCATTTGTATGGCAAGGATTGTGTGAAGCGTTCACGTTTTCGCTGTGCTGTCACAGCCTTCGAGAGGGCCCTGGACTCGCTGAACTACTGTCGTCTGGCCAACGAGGAGGAGGAGCGCCAGCAGACCGCCCTGCTGCTTACGCTTTCTGTGAGCATATAGTATTTTTTGTTTGGGATTTCAATTTATTTCTATTATTTCCCAGCAAAACCTCATGGTCTGCTTCAACAAGCTGGGTCAACCCCGACGCGTCTGCATTGCAATGAAGGATGTACGCCGTCTAACCAACAACGATCCCTCGTGCAAGGCTCTCTTCCATGAGGCTCGCGCCTTGACCGCCCTGGGCGAGTACAAGCGGGCCCGAACGATTCTCATGCAGGCGCATGCCAAGCAGCCAACCAATGCGGAGATCAACGAGGAGATTAAACTGCTGGAAAATCGTATCACCAAGTACGAAGAGTCCAGCCGCGATCTATGGTCCCGGGCCTTGTGGGGCAAAAAGGCCAAGGAAAATCTACCTGTCTCCGAGACCAAAGGAAACTCTGCTAAAGAAGCCAAGTTTAAGCAGGAACTCGAGGAATTGATCAAGCAATTTGAAAGCTCTGAGAGGTTCTCAATTGGACTTAGCCGTCATGTCTACTCGGAGGGGATGTTGGAAGTGCTCAGTGATATGGCCAAGGATCACAATATGAAGCTTAATTACTCGCCAATTCACGAGGATCTTGTGACTTTGTCCAAGGAGGAAAAGTGAAGAAAGAAGAAAAATCTGGGATCTGGAATCTCCCACTAAAACATACTTAATCTACCAAATATCAAGTGCCATGAAGACTAGGTTCACGAAGAACCATCAATTTTTGTTATTAACTAATCACCATTCAAATTTTCATTCATAAAAACAAGAATCTCATGGTTTTGTTACCTTAAATGCCTTCCAAATGAAATCAAAGACACATTTTCGTTAACTTTTAAGTTCTTGAAGGACTAAACACTTTTGTTATATTACATTAATTAAATGTAAAACCTTACAACTTAGTTATCCTTTGTTTTACTTGACACTTTTAAGCTCCATGTCTTGGTTTAACTGGCGATGCAGGCAGTCCAAGCAGGTGCATCCCTTAATGTGCATTTCCCTTAGCACAAAGCTGCTGGTGTCAAAGGTGGTGACCGTCTCGGATCTAACGAATTTGCAGTACCAAAAGGTGCAAATTAAAAGGCCTAAAGGTAGGGTTAAAATTAGATAACAGAAAGTAGTTTTTCCAAGACTCACCTATGGAGGCCATCCAGAGCAACAGCATCAGCAAGGGACAGTAGTAATTGCTCATCACGAACATGTCGCCATTGCTGAGGGTTTTGTTGCCTGAATAGGTTTCCAGGAGCTTCTCCATTAAAGTATCCTTAGAGGCGTCCACTGATCTAAACTATAACTTTTAAGAAACTCAAAAAAAGGTATATTAACGTTGCTCTTTGAACGCGTGCAGTGGAAGAAATGCCCACTGGTTTTAGTCTACATCCAACTTAAAGCCTTATTTTCTTAAGAAATGGATAAGCAAACAGTTGTTTAGCTCCTCAAGGTTTTATGTTTGTAAAATTGTGTGCTTTGTAATAAACAAACATGATTATTAATGCAGATAAGTCCCACTATAATATTTATTTTTATAGAAAAATGGAGTAAAAGCTGAAATTATAAACATTTTTTCTAAGAAAGTCAACAAAATAAAAGCTAATATATTTTAATATTTTTAATAAATAGCATATTTAAAAACTTTTGTGTTAATTTATATATATTTATTTTGTCAGCAAACCAATTGAAATTGAAATTATTAAAAATTATTATATACATATATTTTTTTATATAAATTTACCAAATTATTTTTAATATTATTTTGTGAAATGTTAATTTTTTAATAATTCACAAATTCAAATTTTCGCTCATGTCAGTTACTTCTTTTAATAATCTGGCAACTCTACCAGCAAAGCTTTCACTCTATGCTTTCACCAGTGTTGCTAATTTGTCTTTTTTTAGGACAGATCTGCCGTTTTTGAAACGGCTCAGTCTGCAACAATTTTGAAACGTTATCTGTCCTAAAAACTATTATTTTTTATTTTATTTTGTTCAATGCATGTTTCTACATTTAAACCGTTCCTTAAAAAATTGTATCTACAAATTATATTAAATATAATAACTATGATTGTCCTGTTAAAAAAAAAAAAATAACCGCTAGAATTTGCTAGATTAATATATAAAAATAAACAATTTTTAAGACTATAAGCTAGTTACAAATTTGAAATGTTTTTCCGTTTTTATATACGGTATCCCTAGCTTGAAATAAGCTAAACTGTCAGCACTGGTCGCCACAAATGAAACTTAAAGCTTTGACGTTGCTCTTGGGGAAGTTTCTGATTGGGAAATTGGGGAATTCAGATTCTCTTTTTGAAACTCAACGAGTAAGGTTGGTTCGCTGCGGGTCGCGGATGAAAATTAAAATAGCGGCAACAATTCTTTATTGTTCTTAGTGTCCATCGTCGAAAAAAAACAAAAAACAAAAATAAAGAAAGAATGAAAAAGAGAAAACAAAAGAAAGGAACGAAAGTCGTTAACTGTGTGTGCCTGTGCGTGTGTTTTAGTCTCTTTGCGGCTGCATGTGTAGAGGAAATTTGGCAACAAGCCGCAAAAATATAGCAAAATATTTCAAAAGCATTGCAGAAATACGATTAAACAAGCGCTCGCGTGTGCCTGTGTGTGTTTTTGTTCTATCAGAATAAAACAAATTCGTTGAAATGCCGAACTTTAATCGAAATTAAATGCTGCACAGCAACAAAAAAAACACAGAAGAGAGCTCCCCATTGATGCTGTAAACATAACAGCTGATTTGACCCCCACTCTCTTTTTGGCTCTCTTTTGGGATCCACTGTTGTTGTTGTTGTGGTTGGGGGAAAATTCGAAATGTTGGCCAAGTTTGAATGGGGAAAATTGAGAAAACTAAAGAACTACATAGAAAACAAGAATTTGTGAGTGGCCCAGTAACGTGGCAGGTGGAAACTAGTAAAAACTAAATTCGAAAATAAATTCCGGTCTGTGTCGTCTCACAGTGTAAATACATAAAAGTCTACATAAAAAATCTACATAATTTGAATTTCTACAAAGCAACGGCGGCTTCTTATCGAAGTCATTGAAAATAAACAATCAAAACCTTAAAAAAACCAGACGGAAGCGATCCACGACATTGAAGCTAATTCATTTTTAATACACTCGAACTTGAATAATTTGATATAGTGGTGTTTCAAAGCTTAAATTAAGCGAACTTTATAATTCAGAAAGGTTTTTGAATGTTTGTAAGGTTTTCGATTTGTTGTAGATTTATATGGAAGTTAAAGAAAGATTTAGGCTTAATAGGATCACTTAAATCACTTGTTTTTTAGAAAATTAATAAATAGAATGCAATTTATTTAAACAAAATCGCAATTTTCAATATGTATTTTATGGTTCAATGCTGATTTTTATGTTTTTAAATCTAGATTTTATTATTTCTTCACTTAAAGTTAACTAAAACTCTACCTTAACCTTTTTATGTGTAGTTTAAAATGCCTTTTTAAGTAAAGAAACTTGTAGACTTGGAAATAAAATCTTTAAAAATCCGCATACAGCTTTTTATATTGATTTCAAAGCATTAATTGTGTCAATATTCTTTAAATTAATATTAAAAAAATGTATTTTAAATAAGTTATATAATCTATCTTTAGAATTTGGAAAGCTAATTAAAAAAATTTTAAATATTAGAGTTGGAAAATAATAGTAAGGCTTTTTTGTTCAAAACCAAGGTTTAAGACCATGTTTATTAAATAAAGTGAATAATTCTCTACATTTTAAAGCTTCTCTTAGACATATTTCAAGGCTATTTATCTTGTTTTAACAAAAGATCCATTGTATCTTATATCTTTTAGTTAATTTTACGGAAGTTTGTAAAATTCTTCACACGTCTACTCGCATTGCCTCGCTCTTCTCCCCCTTTTCGTTGTTCGCACCCCACCGTTCGCCCTTTTTGTCGTCATCTTCGCAACGAACAGAGTGACAAAACAAAAAGCAAAAAGAAAAAGAGAAGAAGCCGAAGAACAGCAACAAAACGAAAAGAATTCCAACACAACAAGAAATCTTGTATCTGCTGTCTCGCTTGAAGCGAGAGGAAGAGAAGCAATAATTAATTAATTATTAAATAAATTAATAAACGGAACGGCATTATTTTTACTAAACGAGAATAATCGGCAGCGTTTTGGTTGATTTTTATTTGAGAGAATTACAACGAAATTCTTACACATTAATTAACGTTAACGTGGCCTTAAAAATTCGGTCAATCGTGTGAGTAGAGAAAAATATTATAGAAAAAAAAATACAGCAAAAATTACATTTTGTTTACTACTTTTGTGTGTGCCAAGCTTTTTCACCCATTTCCCTGAACAAAGTTTTCCCTAGTTTTATTGATTTGCATTTTGCACTTTCATACACAAAATTTAGCAGAGAAATTTTTTTGGAAACCTTTTTTTATTTTCACTCACGTGCTTAACACATACAAATCCCCTAAAAAAAAAAATATATATATATATATACGCTTCTTGTCACTAATCAATCACTGGGCATTAAGTTCCACTGAAACTCCACTCCACCTCCACACCTTGAAAACTAAAAAGTACAAGAACAGGGCTAAAAAACAAATACAACATAGAAATAACACAAAAAATTGTGCGGTTGCGGTTGTAAATTCCATCTAAATAATGCAAAATAATATATTTTTACTTCCACGAAACAACGCAACACCACATCCTGCGGCTCAACTATAAAACATTCTACAAATTGCGTTGCATGAAACGGTGAGTGAAAAACAACCCCTCTTTGTGAACACCCAAACCCCCTTTTAAGGATAAGCTTGGTTTTGGGCTTGGTTTTCTGGTTATTCTGGGTGTGTTCTTTTAATGGCTCTATGAAGACGTTCCTTTGCGGCGATCCTAAAGTGCGTGTTTTGCATTTGCCAACCCTCGAATTCTAACTGCGTATTGTGTCTCTTATTCCTGAGTCCTCCGTCCTTGGTCCTTGGCAGCCACCCCAAAAAACAGTCTGGAAACTGTGTCACAGGCTGTTGGCGCTGCAAAGGATGTTAGGGAAAATGGGCAAAGCGAAAACTAGGGCACTGGGAAAAATAAAGGAGAGTTAATATAACGTAAAATAATAATAAAAACTATTATTTGATGGAAAAAATTAAGTATTTTGGGGATATTTAAAGCAGGCAAAAACCTTAAGATATTTTTGTATCTATGTCAATTTACTTGGCGAAAATTAGAGGTATTTAGGGAGTATTTAAGGGTTAGAAATTCTTCAGATACTTTTGTATCTATGCCTTATTAGAGGGTCTTAGGAAGTAAGCTATTCTTTAGATACATTTGTATCTGTAACAAATTTATTGTGGCATTGGAAACCTATTTTTTTTTCGAAGCCCAAATTATACAAATATTTCATATTTTATTGACAACAAGTTAACCCTTAAAGAAATATTTATTTAACCCAAAACTAGGTCAACTTTATTATTTATTTTTCTTGGCATTATTTTCCTTTATTTTTTGCCCTATGACAGCTGCATTTTCCGGCCTCACCCTGGCTGGTTCCGCCACCTATTTCTGCCACCCCACTTTTCCACTCTCTCTCTCTTCCTCTCTCCCTATCCTTTGCCGGTCAAAGCTTTTGCCCATTTTTTGCAGAAGCTTTCTCCATGAAGCCAGGGAAAAGGAAAATAAAATGTGATTCGTGTAAACAAAAACATGTAGTTTTTACGATTTCCCTGAGATTTCCTTTGGCAGGGAACAAAACGCGTTGACAAATCAATTCCAAAAAGAGCCTAAATAATTCAACGTTGCTGAGGGCAACCCTGGCCCTTAAATGGCTCCTCACGTGTGGTCAAAACAATTGGCCCTTGGGTTCAAATACCTACCTCACCTCTCCACTCTCTCTAAATGCTGAGTTTATATTGCAGGAGAGATAAGGGAAGGTTGTAGTGGGTGGAAAATCAATAATTTTCCTTGGGGCCGAGATGCGTAATCCTCTCGACATGTCCCCAATCGATGAGAGGGGGTTTTCGGTGTCGATCGATAATAAACAAGTTTCCCCACACGGCGGGGCCAAAGTCGAAAGGTTCCCGAAACACTCGCACTGTGTGTGTCTGGCCTGAAAGTTGTGTGTAAAAATTGTTTTACTGCCTGTGAACTTTGGCTTCACAACACAGAAAATTGTATAAGCTGCATCACGCAACTGCTTCTCCCCTGTTTTTTTTTTTCTGTTCTCTGGTTGTGTTTGACCTCTGACGTGGTCTCCGTGTTGCGTGCTCAAGAGAAACTTGGCGGGTCACCCTGCGTATGCTTAATGGCTTGGGTTTTAGCTGCAAATATCTAGCATACGCCCCGTCTGCGCTCGCTTGTTATTTCCCTTTTGTCAATCCAAAAATAGACCCAACCTTGACACTTTGGAATTGCCAAACGAGAAACGCAAAACGAAGTTCATTCGCTCTCGATATCTCGGCGGCAGCTAATAGAGTAATCGAGCAATCGAGCTAAATAAAATGCAATTTCATTTCAGGCACGACATTTTGATTAGAGCTTTCTTGGGGAAGTTTGAAGACAAAAAAAAATAGATTTAAATTTTATAATAAGCAGTGGAAAGGGAACTATTGATGGGGTTAGCTAAATAATGTAGTATTAAGAGTGGAAACCATGAAAACCAGTTGTCTGTAATTAAATGTTGACCGTATTTAGCTTAGATAATTACTTAAAGCTTCTGGTTTTGTTATAGAGGTAAATGGTAAAATATATAATTTTAAGAAACTCTTAAAATCAACCTTTGACTTAAGTCTTGAGAGACTAAAATGTTTGTTTTAGATTGGAATTAAGAGGGTTTAATAATCTCTAAAAAAATGTAAACCTTGACTCTTGAATTTAATATTTTAGGAGTGATAAGAATTTAAAAAATGTATATTTATAGGTTGAAGGAGGGTTCTCCTTCTTCTTTGAATACTATAATTTAAAATTAAAAACCATTCTTAGAACAAAGATAAAGGGATTATTAAATTCCACCATTTCTTTTTCTGATTATTTTTCTTGGTACTTGCCACAAATCCTAAGCTCCAAAGCCTTATCAATTCAAATAAAACATAAAGCAAATTAAATATACACAAATTATAGCTAAGAAATATAAACAGAAATGACATCATCGGCGGGGACTCAAGCTTCAGGCATTCGGTGATTGTGTTTGAGGCGTGTCATCAATTTTAGACATATTTTATTGACCCATTAGGACGGGTTATAAACCCAGAGATAGCTCTAGCCTGTTGCTATCTGTTTTTGCCAAGTTTGTGGACAGATCCATATCGTCAAACAATAACCATTCATTAAAGCAATTAAAGCTGATAGAATGCAAAAGGCACTGATAAGATAAGGTGACTCAATGGGTGAAGTACAAACACTCAGACAATGAATCAAAATCATTTACAGTTTATTTACTAATCTGGTTAAGCATAAAGTATTATTTTATAAACACTTGGCACCCTTTTATTATTACTTATATTTATTTTAATATTTTTTTGTGACGACCTTCAGGCCTGTGGTTTTGTTTTAATCCGAATGCCTGGCTTGGATTGGATTACCCAATCTCTATTTTTAGCTCGTGGCGTGGTAACGGAAATCATTTTCAATATTTATTCGCATTTGAATGTGATTAGCAATGCGCACTTTGTGTGCATTTCAAGTGTGTTTGCCCAGCGAATACCTACCTCGGTGTCTCTACAAAATAAAAATCAGAAAAAATAATTTTGAAAAAGAAAACATGTAAAAAGAATGCCTGACAACAGGTGACGCAATATGCCGGAGGCTTTCTCTTAAGGTTTTGGGGCCATTCAACCCACCACCTCTGACCTGCCTTTCGGAGGTGCAATTAAAACGGAAGTACTGCTAGCAACCTGTTGCCAAAGACCGCCCGGGCTCATTAAATTCGAGCTTGGGAAGCGGGCCGGCCCAGCCCGGCCGTTGGCCAATAGTTTGCATGTTGGCATTAATTAAGCTTCAGGCCCAGGCCCAGCGGCTCTTCTGGGAATATGAACTAAGTTTATTACGCCACGAATTTTTGCAGAACGTCGTCTAAGGTTGCAAGCGAAATTATGAAATTACACTGAGAGGAAAGAAAGGTTTAAGAGGTAGAAATCTTAGGGAAATTGGGATAGAATTTCAAGATATATTTTGAGATACTTTAGAAAGTAAGTAAACAAGAAGTTAGAGTAAGTTTTCTACTGAAAAGAAGAGGTTTTCGAGTTTTAATTTTGATAAATAATACAAATAATAAAATAAAATATATTATCTAGTTTTTAATGGCTACTTTTCTTAAGGAAAAGTTTACATATAAAAAAGTAAATCCATAAAATAAGTTAATCCCCCCAGAAACCCCTCTAAGATTTAATATGCAGACATTTTTGTAGCTCTAATTATAGTCACATGTTAGTCATTTCTCTGTGTGCATTTTGGGTAGACTTTCCCAAGGATTGAATGCTTTGGGGCGACACTTTTCCCATTCAAACACACACACACACAAACAGTACCGTTAGATCGCTCTGATCGCGGGTTGTCAATCAGCGATGGGAACATGTGTACCAAGTACCCAACGTCGGCCTTTTCCCCAACTGTTTCTATGTTGCTTTGCCAATGGTTAAAAATATCCGCGAGTACTTGTTGCTCTCGTAATCACCCTCTCACTTGCAACGCCCCCTTTCCCTTGATTTTCCTTCCTCCTTTTTTCCCCCCTCATTTTCCACCGCACATTTGGCGAGGGGTCAATAGACGAGGCGAGTGTGTGGCTGAGAATGCTTGAAAAGTGTTTTGTACTTAGCTTGGAGAGAGAGTGGCAAGGCAGAAAGGCAAAGGCATTTCCAAGTGGAAAATCAGCGGCGCAGAAAGCTAAAAGAATGTTGTTGGTACACCAAGGGAAAATAAGCTTGAAAGGTATGAAAATTAATGAAGAAATGGAGCATGGAAAATGTAAATTAAGATACAATTTACGAAGAATTTTTATTCCAAATGAAAGACAATGTTCGAATCTAGAAATAAATTGAATGATAATAAATATCACTTGCTTAACACTATAATTCCCAACTGGTTCTAGCTACAAACTGGTAGTAAGTAGGGGGATTCGGCTAAGAGAACCCAAAACCTTAAATATTAAATGCAACATTTTCAAAATAAAGGTTAATTTAAATTGAAATAGAAATATATAAATTTAAATGTTAGTTTTTTGAAGAATCCTTATTTCTTTATCCTTTATTTCTTTAACTTATTCCTCTGTTAATCAGTCTATTTTTTTTCTCTGTGTACAAGTGGCGTGCGTTGTGATAGAAAACAAGAGAAAAAGAGGGGAAAAAACCAACAAAGCTTCAAAAATGATATAAAACAGATAATCACCAGCATAAATAGCGCTTTTGTTATTGTTATTGTTTCCTCTGCTCCCAAAAAGCGCTTGGCTCGTTTTCGCATTTTCCGATTAGAGATTTTCGACAACACGAGGGCACGAACCGAACAGTGTTTTCTTTCCTTTTTTTATTTGTTTAAATATTAACTTGCAACAAGTGCCAAGAAAAAAATTGGGGGGTGATAAATGCAAGGCAACTGCAGAACAAAAACAAATGTATTTCTCCTCATTGAATGCCAATTCTCTTGAATAGTTTTTAATAAATCTGTGTGAAAGGTTTCTAAAAATAAAAAAGGAAACAGAGAACGAACACAGAGCACACATTATAAACAATGATAGGGGGATGAAGAAGTCGCATGTCTTACGTCATTTCGGTGTCGGAAAAATCAGACACACACAACTATGACGTCAATACAATGGCCCAATAAATGCCAGAAGCAGCATGAAAGTCTTTGGAAGTCACGAAGATGCGATGAGAAAAACAAGTGTTCACAAGCCGCAGGCGCCGGCGCAGATACTACTTGTATATGTATCTGTAGTATCTGTAGTATCTGCAGTATCTGTAGAACCTTTAGTATCTGAGAATGTCTCTCACTTTGGAGAGCATTGGGTTGGCTGTTGATTTTCCCCCAAAAAAGATCCCATTGGGGATTCGTATTTGCAGGCAGCTCATTTCAGTTGAGTTCTGTTTCAGTTTCGGTTCGGTTCTGTTCCGTTTTTTCCTTCTTCATTTATTTATTTATACTAGGAAAATATTTAAAAAATATTTTAAATAACATAAACATTATACGTGTCTAATACTAAACCCGAATATATATATTTAACCAACTTAAACCCCAATATTGTGTATTTCTGTGAGTGAAAAACGTTTCATATTTTTCCCAAAAGAAAATTGTTTTTGTTGTACAAATTCTATAATTAGAACGAGTTGAGGATCTTTCATGGCTGTGCCCCGCCGACCCAATACACAAAATAGTCTCTCGCCAAAATGAGAGAGCCACCACTACCAACATCAGCCAGCACCTTTCACTAATTCGTATCCCATCCATCCATTTGTATCCCACAGAACTACTACGACGAACCACGACAATGCCGACAATCTGTGGGATTAACGCTCGCTGGAACTGAACGATGGATCTGGCAGATCAAATCGATGACTATATCTGTTCGTTCGAGGGAATTGGTGACTTAACAATGGACTCTCTGGCCATCTTCATTTTCCTGTGGGCCGTTCTGGCCCTCTTCTCCGTCTGGCTGATCAAGCTCCTCTACCACAAGTATCTCAACAAGGCCAACAAATCCCCCAGTGCGGCCAACAGCCGTCAGAGTAGCGTGGCCCCCGGCTCGGGTTCTGTTTCGGGATCTCCTTCCGGCAAAACAGAGAAGCGTCTCTCGGAGCCCCGTGATTTGGTGGCCACCAAGAGCAAGGTGGAGGATCTCTCCAAGCCACTAACTGGTGGCGTTTCATCTGGCGGTAGGGGTCGATCATCGGCTTCTCCCCTGAACTCGGCCGGGCCCTTGGGTGCCGCTGGTGCTGCCGGTCCACGTCGCCGGGTGGTGCGTCAGAGTTCCACTGGACCGGAGAATCGCAAGAAGCGCTATGTTCCACCGCCCTCCAATGTGGTGGGTCCGGAAACGGTGAGTAAATATGTGATTAAATCTCTCTACAGTCCAGTTGGAGTTTAATGGGGGGAAAAACATAACTAAGAAATTATTTTAATATCAGTTTTAGGTCCAGGGTCTTTGTTTTGAAAATAATTAATAGTATAATCGAAGTTTAAAATGATTGTTATATATTTTAAATTAAACAAAAACAACCTAGATGCTAGGTTTATAGGTTAATATAATTATAAAGTCATTAATATCATGACCTTTGATTTATTTAAAAGGTTTTTGATTATTATAATTATTGTTTTTGTGGGGAAAAAGTTTATGCTCAAGTTGCTGAAATTTACCTATTAATTAAAAAATACTACAATACTTTTTTTAAGTGCTCATATAAATAGTTTAAATAATTGAATTACCTTTTTTTTAATTCCTTTCAGAGCTCTGTAACCTGGACCAGCCAGGTCTTCCGCTGGCTCTACAGCGACCTGGTCATCGTCAACGAACTGCTCATGTCCTGGGTGATTGCCATCAATGACACGCTGCGCAAATCCGTGGAGGAGGTGAGTTTGTCCGCCAAACAAAGACATGACATCAGGCAGAGCAAAGATAGTTCCCGGCTCCCAGCTTTGACATCATCATCATCCAGGCGGCCCACACGGCTCTGATGTCATGGCTGAGCTTGACTTGGTCTTTATTGGTTGGTCGTCGGTCGCTGAACTTTGTTCTTGGCCCCCGCCACCGGCTGTTTCACGACATTCAACTTGAAACCGATGTTCGGCAACTTGGCTTCCACCTCGGCTCCCTTTCTCCTCCCCCAGCGATCTGGCCAGCCGGCGTGCTGGGAACTCGCTCAGCCGTAACTGATGGCGAAACGCGTTTTGTTTTCAACTTTTTGTTTTTTTTTTTGTAATTTTTCTATACCCTGTAGTAGTTGGGTAAGAGAGTGATGATTAATTGATACAGAGGCAAGTAAATTGAGAGTTGAAAGGTCGCATTATACCGTAAGTTTCCATTAAAAATTAACCTTGTCCGTCTGTTTGTTGTCCGTTAATTAGAATTTGCATCTATATCTAAGGGACTATAAAAGCTAAAGCTATGAAATTTGCTACAAGTATTTCAATAGGTTAAATTCTTATAAAGACTTCTAAAAAATTGCGTCACGCCTACAGCAACCCATAAAAATAAATCTGTAATATTTAAATAATATTTTTTATAATAATTTTAGACTATAAAAAGAAAAGTTAAAAGAGTTTTTATACCTTTAAAAATATTTTTATATTTACAGGGTATAAAATAATTTCAAACCCCTTTAAAAATCTCTCCTGCTCTCCTCTGATTTTATTTTTTATCGCCTTTTACGTGCTCGAAGCCATTCAGAGGCCAAGGTCGCGGCATCCAACCAATCGTTAGTCATTATCCCGTCACTGAATCGTATTCCCAAAAATGTATGCAGCTGAATTACGTAATGCGTGATTAATTTTAAACTGAAAGGAGCTAAGGAGCACAGCTGCTCTACAGGTTTTATCTTCTGATTTAACCCGGTTCTTTCTCTCTTTTTTTGTATTAAATAATAATAATATTATATTATTTCTTTACAGCATGGCGTGGCCGTGGAAGTGGTGCGCGTTCTGCCCGATAGCCCAGCTCCGGGATTAAACAATATCTTTTGCAATTGCGATGAGAACAATCCCGCTGATATGGTGAGTAAATGCAGGAGAAGATCTCCTTGGGTTCCTGAACTAATAAAGATATATCCCTTTATCCCCACAGCTCATCACCTTTGACTGCGATGCCATGCCGGTGCTGCAGGTCAAGACTTTCCGCCAAAAGGCCGGCAAGGTGGAGACCTCCCATTACAAGGTCACCGTGTCCAGGTTCCGGGCTCGCATGGCCATACCCATGAACTATAATACCCTGAAGGGCGAGATGCGTGTAGAGGGTTATCCAGATGTGAGTAAACCAGTTAAGTTTTATGTATTTTATTTATTTATATTTTAATTTTCTTAGGTTCGCATTGCCATGAACAGCGTGGGCGCCATCAAGGCCATGGATCAGGATGAACAGCAGCTGCAGACGGTGATCAGCGATATCCTGACGACGGCTTTGCGTGATACCATCTATCCGGTGGACTTCTCCATCTACTCGACCTGCCCGCGGGCCGAAGTGGAGCCCCTGGATCTACCTGTAATCTATCCCGTCCACTATGACTCGCTGGCGGTGAGCGTCGGGGGAGCAGTGAGAAGACTGTCGGCTCCTTCTGTTGTTGTTTATGTTGCTCTCTGTTCTTTGTGCTCCTCTTGTGTCCTTTCTGTACACTAGTCATTGCAAAGAAAATCACACAGAAATTCATCGGAGACTCTCTGTATAAAAAGCAAGACAAACAGACACTTCTCATTGCTCTCGACCTTCGCCTCCACCTTCTACCCTGTGTTTATGGAATTCGCCTTTTCAATCTCTCTCTCTCAGAACTCAGTACTCCAACAACAGTCGCATTTCCTTTGTATCCCCGTGAGAATCCCGTCCTTGATCGTCCTGTCCTGAAAGTAAAAAGAACTCTCTTTGCTCTCTCTCTTATTTCAGGGCAACCAATACTTTCAATATTATTACAATTTCTAAGTGACTGTCTCTCGCATTAGTTCGTTTCCCCGATTAAAAGGCGAATTTCATGAGCCCCCCCTCAATCTGACTTTTGTCTCAATCTCTGACCCCTCCCCGACTCTGTCTCTCTCTCTCTCTTCTCTGTCACTCATTGCATGATGGTTGTCCTCCTCCAACCCACACAGCACAATATGGAGCATCATCTGAGCGGCGTGGGGCTAAGGGACTCCCAGCACATGGTCTCTGGCCGCCGGCTTCTTGTAAAGATTGTCAAGGGCGAAGGCCTAAGGGATGCCCACGATCCCTATGTTGTCATCGAGATGGATGAGCCGGCCCAAAAGAACCAGACGGGCACCCAGCGCGGCACCAAGCCCTACTGGGATGAGCACTTCCTCTTGTAAGTTATGGAGAAATCAAAGAATTGCCTCTATCTTCATTAATTCCCTTGCTTTCCACAGCGAACTCTCCCCCCAATCTGCCGAGATCCTTTTCGAGGTTTATGACCATCCGGTTATAGCCTCTGATCCGCCCAAATTCCTGGGTCTCGGCCTGGTTGGCATCGATGAGCTGGCCGTGGGTCCTGCCTCCACGCAACTTCTGCAGCTGCAGCCACGTCCTTATGAGACGCAGCCTGTTTCCGGGGCCATCACCGTGGACTTTGTGTTCATCGAGGGTGCCGAGATCCCGGCTGGAGTTCGCCCGCAGCGCCTGAAGGAGGCGTTGCGCCTCAGCACGCCAGCCATCAATGAGCACATCCGAAATGGAGCCGATCTGGCGGATGCGGCTGTAAGAGCTCTACAGGATGGAGCGCTCTCGAGCACTGGCAGCGGTGGACAGCCCAGCAAGAGCACTTTGATCATACACAGTGTGCAGCGGGTGAGTGGTTAAGGTTAAGGAAATAGAGAAATATATGAATACATATTTTTAATAATTTTTCGTAGTATTTCTTTTATATATTTGTTTGTTTATTACTTATTAAAGTCAACGATAGTTGAAAAAATGTGTCTAAAAGTAGGCTATTTTATATTTCAAAGCTTTTATTATGTTTTATAGCATACTTTTGAACACAATTTTAATTGATTGCAAATCTCTTTTGACAAAAATATAATTTTTAACTTTTAAAAGATATATTTTAATATTTTGTATACAACCCACAACTCTCCCTACATTTCGTACACCCCCTTACCCCCATTTTCTCTATTGTTTTATAATTTCTATCGTTTCTATTTTCGTTTAATTTCATACCATTTCCGTCTCCGATCCCGAACCAGAATTCGACCGGCCCGAATGCATTTAAGGTAATCTCCCCCACTATACCTGGACATCTCTCGCTCTCCTCGAGCTTTCTTTATTTTATTTATGAGTTATCTGAGTTACTGCGTCTCTAATCCCGCCGCCCAATCATGATGGTTCCCTTGATCATGAACAGGCTAAAGAATAAGTAGTGTCTAAGCCAAGTTAATAACCAAAACTGTTTCTTGTTCTGTTTTGCTCCGCCTAACCCCCAACAAAAAAACAAAAACAAAATGCGCTTCTCTAACCGAAAAACAAATACAATGCGACCTCAGGTCGAGGTCAACAAGGAGGGCCAGATCGAGGTGGTCCAGTCGCCGACCGAGCTGGATCAGACAGTGGCCCAGGCCTTTGAGCGGGCTGCCAACGAGGCCCAGGCCGAGCTTGAGCTGGAGAAGGCCAAGCTGGAGTTGGAGCCCGGTCAGGGTGACATACTCAACGACTCAGGTAATGGTACCGTCAACGAGGACAGCGTCGCGGAGGTGAGTACACACGCTGAGTTTTATGTTCAAGGCATGGCATGGACTTTTGAGTTATTATCTCTAGAGAGGAGTCCCTTATTAACATATCCTGTGAATTATAGTATGGCCAGCCCAATGCCGCCTCATCGCCCAATGGCAGTGGCTATGGACACAACAACTACAGCCTCAATGGCAATGGCAACTCGGGAGGAGCCGGAGGAGGCTACAACAGCCTGCCCAGGAATGGAGCTGCCTTGCATCAGCAGATGGGTCACCACAATGCCGGCTTGATACTCGACGGACAGGACGTGGTGGATGCGGACCGTGGAAGGAGCAAAAAACGTAATTTCTTTGGCACCCTGAAGAAGCGGCTAAGCCGCTCCAAGACACGTACCCTCTCGGCCGATCAGCCCAATAATAATAAAAATAGCAGTCATAAGTCACTATCAGCCACCAACTCGAATACAGCGACCACAGCCACCGGATATCCCCGAAACGCCACCGGAACCCTCAATGGTGATTCTTCCCGTTCATTATCTGTCGATCGTGCCACTACTCTGTCCAAAAGCAATTCACTTGGTAATTACCGCCCCCGTATCACTGAGCTCCCCCCTCGCCATGTTGTCCACGTTTTTTAATCAAATTTTTGTGAGCCCAGCTTAACGCACTCTTTCTCCCTCTTAACGGACAAAAAACGATCTCCTGCTAATTCCGCTTAAAGCCATCATCATGCGCCATTGGGACATATTCATCACATAATAATATCACATTAGAGATCATTATCATAACAAGTCTCGTATATGCTTTTAAGTATTAAAAGCGGCTTTGCACTTTTGCTTTTCTTGTATTTTAAGGCTTTAAAATTACTTACTTTATTTTTTAAAATATTTATTACTAACTTCTGTAGAGAACTTCCTATACTTTATTCATTAATTCTTATTTTCTACAATATATCTTGTATCGTGAGGAATAAGAATGCCACATAAATCGCTTGGGTTTTAAAAACCACTAAAAAAGCTGTCTAAAAGTATGCTATTATGTGCTACTTATTCTAATTTAAACTGAATTTAATATTTATAATTATTTAAAGCATTCTTTTGAGCTTATTATTTAAATAATTAAAAACCGAAGCGTTTTCTGTGGCACCCCTGTATTTACTTAACTTTTCCCAATTTCTACAATATTTTAACTTTATTTTTTAACATTATATTAATGAATTGCTTAAGTAAAGCATAAAATATTCTTTAAACATGGATATAATGTATACTTCCATAAAAAAGTTTTGCCAATTTGTTTTCTTATATATAAAAAAGTAAATATCCTTTTTAAAAATCTACTTATTTCATTTCAACCTAAACTTAATTATTAGGTGTATTTAGCTTTTCACCCTAAATGTATTACTAAGGACTTGAGCTTATTGTACTTCCTGAAGCTTGATCTTAATCTGTATCTTGTATCTGTTTCTACATATATCTGTACCTGTATCTATATCTGTTGTTCGTTTTATCTTCTCTTCCCCCTAACACACTCTTGTATCCATCAAATGCCTAACTTGAACTGTGACCCACGACACGAATCTGTATGTATTCCATGGTTCCCATACACACTGAAAAAAAAAATACAATCAAAAAACTCTTTTACAAAAAACAACAACAATTCCAAAAACACATTTGCATTATTTTGAATATATATTATATATTTTGTATATATCTGGCTTTATTTTTGGATTTTTGGTAATTTGAACGGCCTTTTATTATGTATTAAATATAAATTTACATTTATTTTAATTATTATCTCACTTACACTTTCCATATTCTTTTCTTTTTCGTTTACTTTCATATATGCAAAAAACAAAAAAAAAATATGATTTCGATGGGTCTAACTGGGTGCTTGGTTCGTGTGCCACTCTTACACTAAAAAAAAAAAAACAAAACAATAAAAAAACGCAGGACCCCGCATGGGCATTGGTCACTCCATCACCGACCACTCACGCCGCTCCTCAATTTCAGAATCCTCGGCCATCTCAGGTTTCTCCTCGGCCAGCAATAAGACCTATGTGCACGAGGCCTCCACCTTAGTGCTGGAGACGGTGGAGAATGGCATCAAGCGGTGAGTTAAACCATTTATTTATAGATTTCTTTATTAATGTAAATAATATATTGTTTTTGAAGTCACTTTATTGTGCCGCTGGCCATTGCCCAGAGACCGCGCTGGCGTCGCAAGGGAACCAAGCTGCACATCTACAACGATCACACCTTCATCGCCAAGCATTTGAGCGGGTAATAATAATTATAATAATTATTTAATAATAATAAAAAAATTATTAATAATATTTATAATATATATTGATTATTAGAAGCGGCCTGCAGTGCTCCATCTGCATGAAGTCCATACCCCGTAGGCCCGGCAAGCAGGGCTACGAGTGCCGCGACTGCCAGCTGATCTGTCACAAGCAGTGTCACATACGGGCGCCCCAGGCGTGTCCCAATCCCACGGTGCTCTCCATGGAACTGTAAGTAGCCACCGGAAACCCCAGATCGAAGGCTTTAATAGTGATTAAGATGCGTAACGCGCTCGAAAGCTTTTTCTCTCAAAAGAGAGAGTGAGAGAGCTTTTGAGTGGCGTTATGCATCTTGTAGCTTATACTGTCTTTGCGTAGGTCCTAAAAGCTTCCCTTAAATCCCTACCTGCTAAGTAAAATCCCCTTGATACTAATTTATTGATTTCGTTTTATTTTTCTCTTTCCACACACACACAAAACACACGCACACCCTACCTATACACACACACCAAATAGAACGTCATTTCCGGTACTCACAGAGAGAGATCTGAACTTAGTTAACTAAAAGCCTTATACATTTTCTTCTTATTTTGTAATCAAAATCGCCTTGAGTCCGCCAAATGCAGTTTGATATATTTACCAAAAGAGCAAATTTTTGATTTATCTTTCGAAAAAGTGGGACTTCTCGCTTTGTTCTCTTGGCTTTTGCTAAAGCATCCATCCTTTATCCATTTATCAATCCGCTTTGTTGCCATTTTTTGTGTATATATTTTCTGTCTGGGCACTAATTAGAGCTCTTTTCTCACCGCATTAAACTCACCAAAAAACACACTTGATGGACACAGGATGACCACTGAGGGGTAGTGTCGAGGTCTCAGCGAACACAACAACAACCAACCAACCAGCCACCAAAGCACGTTTTTAGTCCATTAAGAAAAGAACCATTCTAAAGACAATAGCTCTCCCAGCACACAGTTCTACTTCGATCAGGGTTTCCCTCTTAGATTCTCTCACGTTCGAGGTTCAAGCGTTTCTCAGTTGAGCGTTTTGGCAACTGGGAAATCGGGGTAAGCCACGCACGCGCATGAAGTTCCTTCGTTTTCTGCTGCTGCCGATCCACTGTGTTGTGTACTAAATTAACACTATTAAAACAAAGGCAATTTAAGCAATAAATGTCTTTTATTAGCCTACGCTTAAAGCCGTTTCGACACTAAATACCCCTTTTTGTTGCGTTTTTTATTCATAAAAATTTGGCCTAAAAAAAAGAGTTTGAAGCTTGTTTTGATATTTTATATTGTTTACTTTCCCTATAAAAAATACTTAAATATTAATAAATTTCTTAAATTTATTTCCACAGAACCAAACTTAGCTCGGCGGCGGCAGATCGCAGCATACGAAAACTGTGAGGGGAATCCAGCTTAATTCTGCCCCCCCCGAAAACCGAGAAACCATAATCGAAATACTACTCTTAGTTAGAGATCAGATGGATCTGTCTTCTGCTGCGGAAAACCCCAATACCCGATACCCGAAACACCACGTTATTTATTTATACACACACACACCCACAACACGAACACACACACCATGTGCAATATGTTCTTTGGTTTCGTTTTTTTAACCACATTTTCTCTGTGTCAACGTGCTGGAGCCCATTGATATTTTTTTGTATTTTCTACAAAACACGAATAATAATTGTACAAAAATAAAAGTGAATTAGAGGTTTTTTAAATGAATAACAAGTGTTTATAATGTGCAAATCCTAAGAAGGATACCTAACATAGCCAGTGCCCAAGGTGACATAAGGACTAGGAATATTTTTAGTCTGTGGTTCGGGCTCATAAGCCAGATTTTCATTTGAAGAACTTTCTGAACCGGAGGATGGCGTTGGAGGCTCAGAAATATAATCCTGCTCCGGCGGAGCTTCCTCCTCGACTGGACACTCCTTGGTTAGTATGTCTATGGTAAGTACACCGTTCGGTGGATAGTTTCCTGGGACGGTTATAGAGACAGGGGGGCCAGGAACAGGGATCTCAATATCCACCGATTTAAATAGAATGTCTGGGAGGGTAACCTTGATTTTGGCCATTTTTCGCAGCTTCCGAAAGGATACAAAGCTCAAAGAAAGCAGCGCAACCATTAAAATTATAACCGCAACAACCTGAATTAAGCTCAGACCCGTTGCTTTCTGCTCGTCCTTCTGAACACTTGGAAACCGTGTACCTACAAAACTCATGCCGCCACTCGGTTTATCCTTGTATGAGGCTGCCACAGCCATATTGGAAAGGAGCTTCGATTGGTTGAATTGGAACAAAAGTTGGGATCTTTCTAACATCTCAATTTGAATGGATTTTTGATCGTCACAGATCTGGTAACGGATTGTGGAACCCGAGCACCAGGAGATGGCATAGCCAATGAGACCTTGCTGTTCCTGGGGAGCCTGCCAGGTCAGGGTGTAGTTGTCGTCGTGGTACCTCAACCCACGTATCTGAAGTGACTCGGAGTTGGCCAGAAGGGGCACCTCGAACACATTGCTAGTATTCGAGGTTCCCACAGAGTTTTGGCTCCAAACGTATATGACACCAGAGATTGTGGGGTCCCAGTCGCTGAAGAGGGCGCAATTGCTGTCGATGAATGACGGATTCTTGCTGAAAGCAGAAATGTAAATGAAACCCCTTTTAAAGACATAGATCTCCAGACTTACCCAGTGCCCGTGGCCGCGGCGTACGTAAAGTCGGGTCCGTTGAGCTCCAGCTCGTCCAGCTGCCGCCAGAAGACATACAGCTCCTTCTTTTCCGGATCGTGGTAGAATCCGTTGGTAAGAAACACCGGCGGCCGAGCGGGAATATCGGCTACGCTTGTAACTTCCCTGGACTCGAACTCAGTTGACCAGGGTGCGCCCGTGACATTATACCGACGGCGAAATCGGAATATGTATCCCTGGTTGGCATAGGGCAGCTTGGGAAAGCAGAGGTCCTGACCAAACATGGGAGTGACGCGTCTTTCGGTATAAAGGGGTTTGATCTTGGGGTTGCTGCAGAATATCTCCACTCTCCAATTCTGTGAGAGCGCCACAGGAGCGAGGTGATCCGTGTGCGCCCATTTGAGGCAGATCCTTGAGCTGCTCTGACTAAATTTTGGCTGAGTCATTGGCCACTCTGGCACCGTCATTTCCCTGAGGGTCATGGGAAACACCTTCGACTGGTTATGTCCCTCGTATTCCATAGAAAGTTGGATCTGGTAGTTGGGCCCATAGTTGTCAGAGTCTCTGGGAATAAAAAGGCCTGGGCAATCAATCCAACTGGAGAAGTGAGCGCCTTTAAAGCACGGGATGCTTGGGAGGTCAGCGATGCTCAGCGAGTAGGTCTTCTTCGTTATGCTAGCGGCTAGTCCCAACTCTTTAAAAAAGCAAGACGCCTCTTTGTCGGTGGCAGTTTTACGGCAATAAAAGCTCGTCACATTCAGGGTCGGAACCACATTCACGTAGATCTCTCCCAGGTAATCCTCACCAGACATGCAGTAAATTCTAATGTACTGCCTGGGCTGGTCGACCTCCACTCGGTGCTTTATGGTGTACTCGTCGACGGGTGTGCTTGCCACCTGATGCTCCAAATGGCTCGGCTTGAGGTACATGTTCTGCAATTGAACAGTGGAGTTGTTGCACATGCAAAACACCTCGAATGACTCGCCAACGAACACAGCTTGCGGTTCGCTCCACATGTCACCATTGCACCATTTCACCATCGTTGCGTGACTCCGGATGGTCAAGTGAAGCGCGAGGAGCAATAGAACCGTCGGCTTTGCTCTCCAGCTCATGACTGACCAGCCACAGACGGTTGGACTTAAAAATGAATTCCCCCTTTGGAACACAGAAACTGCAATGTTGCGGGATGCTGATAGGAACGCACTTATCAGCTGAATATTACACCATTTTTTTTTTTTTTTAACTACGACTTGAAAACCAAACCGCCTTAGTGGTGGTAGAATTACTTTCAAACCAGAGGATTGCTTCCGCTGCGGGCAAACTGAATTCGTCGACTGTTTTGAGTATTTAATTTGAAATAATTTGAGCTCAGCTTATAAACAGCGATCTACACCGAATTTGCTCGGCGCTTGGGGCTCAAATAACTACTATCGCGCGGCAAATTGAAAAGCCACTAACCTTTGCCCTTTGAAGATAGCTTATCGCAGAATGTGAAAGAAAGCTTTTATTGGTGGGCGATTAGCGAGTCATTTACATATTATGCTAAAAAGCTTCATTAGATTTGACTTAAAATATTAAATTTAAATTGAAATGGCTAATGCAATATATATTCCTAAGCGGGAGACATTACATATCCCCTTCCTGCGGTAACATGAGGACCAAGCCTTTGTTCGGTCTCTGGTTGGGTCTCAATAGCCAGATCCTCCCTCGCACAAGTTGCTGAATCAGAGGCTGGTGTTACGGGTTTAAAATAATAATCCAGATTAGGAAGAACCTCAACTTCTTCATCGACTACAGTTTCCTTAGTCAGTATGTCTGTGGTAAGCACGCCCTTCGGTGAAAAGTTACCCGGGACGGCGATGAAGACCGGAGACGCAGGAAAAGGGATTTCAATACCCACCGATTTAAAGAAAAAATCTGGGAGGGTAACCGTAATTTTGGCCATATTCCGCAGCTTTCGAAAGGATACAAAGCTCAAGGAAAGCAGCGCGACCATTAAAAGTATAACCGCAATAACCTGAATTAAGCTCAGTCCAGTGGTCTTGCTCTCTTCCTTGCGAACACTTGGAAACCTTGGGCCAATCCAACTCATGCCGCCACTTGGTTTGTCCTTGTAAGAGGCTGAAACAGCCATATTGGACACGAGCATCGATTATTTGAAACGAAACAAAAGCTGGGACTCTTCTACCATCTCGATCTTAATGGAGTCTTGTTCGTCGCAGATCTGATATCGGTTTGAGGAACCCAAGCACCAAGAAATGTTGTAACCAGTGAGACATTGCAGATCCGGTGGAGCCTGTCAGGTCAGGGTGTAGTTGTTGTCGTAGTACCTCAACCCACGTATCTGAAGTGACTCGGAGTTGGTCAGAAGGGGCACCTCCAACCGAGTGGTAGCTGTCGAGTTTCCCATGGAGTTCTGGCTCCAAACGTATATGATACCAGGGATTGTGGGGTCCCAGTCGCTGAAAAGGGCGCAGTTGCTGTCGATGGATGAAGGATTCTTCCTGGGAAAATGGGAAATAGGATAACCTACGGTGCATAGAGGTCCGATCCAGGCTTACCCAGTGCCCGTGGCAGCGGCATAAGTAAAGTTGGGTCCGTTTAGCTCCAGCTCGTCAAGCTGGCGCCAGAAGACGAAGAGATGGTTCTTCTTCGCATCGTGGTAAAATCCGTTGGGAAGTATCTCCGGTGCCCGAGCGGGAATGGAGGACATGCTTCTAATTTTCTTGGACTTGAAAGCAGAGGACCAGGGAAAGTGCGTGATATTATATCGACGCCTAAACCGAAAGGTATAGACCTGGTCAGCATAGGGCAGTTTGGGGAGACATATCATTGAAGTGTTCTCGAGAAATATGAAAAGTTCCTCAACCAGAACCTTGATCTTTGGATTTTGGGGCCGAATCTCAGCTCTCAAAATTTGTCGAAGCCTCGTATTATCATCCGTATTAACCGTGAGCGTCCAATTGAGGCACACCCTTGAGCTGCTCTGTATAAATTGCGGCTGGGTTATGGGCCACATTGGCGTTTCCCTCAGGGTCATTAGGAATATTCGTATATATTGGTTCCCGTTGTATTTCATAGTAATGAGGAGGCGGTTGTTGGATGGTTTAATGGGAACATATAAGTCTCTGCACCCAATCCAATCACTGATCTTATAGCACGGGACGCTCGGGAGGCCATCGACGCTTATCGAGTATTTTTTTTATAGATGAGACGAATCCCACGTCTCTGAAGAAGCACCTTGACGTCTTTCCTCTATATAATTTGGAGCAATATAGCTCTCGCACGATGAAATCGTCGTGAAGTAACACCTTTGGGCGATCGCAATGCTTCTCCGCGCGACAAAAGACGATCAAATGAAACGCGAGGAGCAGAAAAAGTGGACATAAAATCCAGCTCATGATTGACCAATGAATGGATTCGGACTTCTCCTCTAAGTATTGATTGCTGTATGTAAGTGCTTATTGACCTTGTAAAATAAGCATTACATCATTTGAAGTTTATGATTTTAAAACTGAAACCGCTTTAGTGGCACAAGAAATACTTGCGTTCTGGTCAAGATTAATGTGAGAACTGCTTTGAGATTTGTATTTTTATAAAGGAAATTTTTTTCCTACATCCTGAATGGGTGCTGAGGGGCTTCTTTAGCTCCCAAAGCTCTCATTAGACTTGAAACTTAGGAATTATAAGGCTTTCAGAGGAAAAAAAAAAACCTTAACTACCTAATTGATTATAAACACTGATTCTTACTAAATTACATTCTCCGTGTGATAAAATATGTGTATTTTACAATATATAATATAAATGATCGAAATAAAGTAGCTAGCTTCCTTTATTTTTATGTGTACTTGCAACGAGATCACATCGCTTACTCTTATGGGACCGATTTAGTTCGTACTTCTTGTATGATTACGTTTATAATAATTTATAATGTTTCTTCGAAACCAGTAAAAAAATATCCAGCTAAAGTTTCTGGTACACATTGCCTTGGTCTTGAACACATGCTTCACTGGTTTTGTCAAACATATACCTGGTAATGTAGGGTATAACTTCTATCTTAGGCTCTGGCTCCTCACTCATTTCCATTGTAAAATTGTTGATATTCATGATCGTTTTCGGGGAAAAGTTTCCTGGAATAGCAAGTGTGGCTGGAGAATCTGGTTGACTTAAAACAAAGGCATTCGCGGATCCCTTAAGTAGGATCTCGGGAATGTCTACCTCGATTTGTGACATTAAGCGCAGTTTTTGGAAGAGAACTATTATAAAGCCAATCATTATAAGGGTGATCATGCCTAACATAAAATGACTTAAACCAAGAGGTTTCCATGACTTTATAAAACGAACCCAAGTGGGATTGATCCACTTCATCCCGCCACTCGGTTTATCCTTGTAACAGGCTGCCACAGCCAAATGGGACAGAAGCATCGATTGGTTGAAATGGAACTGAGTTTGGGATGCTTTTACCATCTCATTTTGAATGGACTCTTGATCGTCGCAGATCTGGTTTGAGGAACTCCAGCACCAGGAGATGGCGTATCCAGTAAGACCTTGCTGATCCTGCGGAGGCTGCCAGGTAAGGGCGTAAATGTCATCGTGGTACCACAACTCTAGTGGCTGACGGTACTCGGAGTTGGTCAGAAGAGGCACTTGCAACCGAGTTCTATTCGTAGAGGATCCCACGGAGTTCTGGCTCCAAACGTATATGACAGCAGGAAGTGTGGTATCCCAGTGGCTGAAAAGGGCGCTGTTTTTGTTGATGGATGAGGGATTCTTGCTAAAAGCAGAAATTGAAATTAAACCCCTTAAAGGATATAGATTTCCAGACTCACCCTTCGTCTGTGACCGCAGCGTAAGTAAAGTTGGGTCCGTTGAGCTCCAGCTCGTCCAATTGACGCCAGAAGACGTAGAGCTCCTTTTTCTCCGGACCGTGGTAGAATCCGTTGGTGAGTAACTCCGGCGGTCGATCAGGCACGGTGGCAGCGGTTGTGAGTTCGGGAAAATCCAATTCACTAGACCAAGGCGATCTCGTCGAATAATATCGCCGGGAGAAACGCAGGCGATAGGCCTGGTTAGAGTGCGGGGGGATCTTAAAGCAATTCAGCTCAAAATACATAGTTATATCAGGGTAGACGATAAGCTGGTCAACATAGGGCTGGAGCTTTGGACTCTGGGGATTGAACTGCACTCTCCATTCCTGGGGCCAAGCCAGTAAAGAGTTCTCATCGGTGTGCACCCATTGCAGGCAGATGTGTGAGCTGTTTTGCAAGAAATTCGGCTTATAGGGCGTCCATGCGGGTACGCTTATTTCAGTGATCTTAAACTGGAAATCCTGTGACTGTGTGTAGCCCTCGTAGTCCATGGAAAGCCGGAATTTGTACATTATTTCATCAGGTAGTTTAATGCCATTGCACTGAATCCAGCTGTGGTTGCTACTCATCTCCCAGCACGGGACGGAAGGCTCTTCATCAATCCCTAGAAAGTACCTTTCTTTCCGTAATGAGTTGTCTTCGGGTCTCCCTAGATCCTTGAAGGTGCACGAAGCCTCGCGATCGGCGGACTCCACAAGACACTGGAATTCCTGCACCTGCAGAAGGGGTATTACCACCACCAGAATCCCACCCAAATATTGATCTCGATATCTGCAGGCCGTATTGAAGGACACTTGTTCCTGGACGTGCTCCACCCTGTGCTTGATAGTTATTTCATCGACAATGGAGGTCTCCAAATACCTTTCCTCTAGCCCTTTTTGGATGTGCAGATCTTCCACTTGAATCTCGGAGCCGTTGCAGCTGCAAAACACCTCGAAGGATTCCCCCGCTAGCACTGTCCAGCGATCGCTCCACATGTGCGCCTCGCAAGGTTCTTTTGCCTGTCCACCACAAAGGAGCAGCAGAGCCTCCAAAATGACGAGAACAGGCAAAGGCAGCTTCCAACTCATGACTGCAAAAAGTGTGAAAAATTGCATGCACTTGCACTTGATTTAAAGCCGATTACAGCGTTTGATTCTAAGTACCACCCTTATCAATGCACCTATGGGACCCCTATTTCGAATAACCCCGTACTTATCGCAAACGTCAATTACGGAGTATTCGTTCAGTTTCCTGTGAATGAAGCAATTAATTAAGCAACTTTCTGAACGCATACAGAAAAATGAATAAATTATAATAGATTTATTTGATTTATAAATAATTTTTTTAATTTTTTTTTTTTTTTGTAATTCTTGTTCTTTTTATATTTCTTTTTAGTTAAGTTACTATCTTCCTTACATTTGAAATTCTACTTCCTTGGCGCCAATTAAAATCCATCGTGTGGCAACATCGCTCAAACAGCTGCGAACAGTGGCAGCCTTGGTTACCAATCGGCTGCCACAACTATCGATAGGCCAGCGATAGTAATTGCACCAACCAGTGATGGCAAAATATGTTGGCCGATATTAGGGCTTAAACTTTAAAATTAAAATCTATGGGATTAACTCTAATTTAGTTCTTCAGAGAATAAAAACAATATTAATTGATACTAAATATGCCCTAACTTACATGTATTCTTTCACATAAGCAAATAAAATCAGATTATATTAATTATTACTGGAAACTAAAGTTATAAAAAATTAATATTCAAAGTCAAACTAATGAATTACAAACAAAAGTTTCTTGAAATAAAAGAAAACTTTGCAATAAGAACGACCAAAATGAAGTTCCCAATCCTCACTAGCACCCGATATATCGATACTATCGCCACCCTGAGGTCGCGCATCGCTAGGGGGCCAGAAACAACAACATTTGTGGGCTGCGCGTTGACGACGAAGTGCATGTGAAATTTTTCGTTCGTAGGACAATTGTTAATTAATCCGTTGGCCAAATTCGCGCAGCAATCACGTGTCCGAGTAATATGTGAACGGTATGATTAAATGCAGCAGCGTTCCGCGCTAGAATTAAATCGAATAAAAAATCCAACGACAACGGCAACAACAAACATCAACGGGGCGACAAAGCGACACGCCTCGCGTTGCCACTGCTGTTGTTGTTGTCGCGAGTGTTTTTTTCGGCTGCAAATTAAATGAATTTTAATAAATGAAACAAGAAAGTGTGTGCTGTGCGCTGTGCATATGCCAATAAATAATAATTAAAGTGCAGAGCCGCGTCGCAAAACAAAGAGGAGAGGCGGAGGCCAGAGCAAGCGAGCGAGCGAGAGAGGGAGAGACAGACTGAAAACGAGACGAGACGTTCTCTTGCCCTCTCGCTTCCACCCCCGCGCTTTCTCCATACGTCTCCCCATCCTCCTCCACCAGCCGCGTTTATCATTATTATTATTATTGTTGTTGTTGATGCTGACGCTGCGCTGTTTTATTTGCCTTTTGTTTTCATCTTTATTTTGTATTTTTTAATTCTGCGTCACAATTCGCGATTCTAATTTCTTGCGTGTGTGTGTTTGTGTGCGTTTTCTGCAGATCTTCGTCATCCGATTCATAAGCATATATAGCGTATTATATACATATATGTATATATGTACATATATGTGAAGCCAAAGTCCCGTTAACCTTACGTAAGTGTGTGGGTGGTCTCCTGAAGCGACGCAAAAATGCAGCTCGATCCCCAAAAGTCCCCAAAATCCGCTTGCAACGAGTGCTAAAGAAAATAAAAGAGAGAAATAAATCCAAAATCCACCATAAACCAACATAAAAAGCGTTTACAACAAAAGTGCAAACTGAAAAAAACAAACAAGAGAGCGGATTAAAAGCAAAGATCCCGCAGAACCCCAGGACTCGATCGGCAACGGAAACGGAAGCGGACCAAGCTGGCTAAGATGGCCGCCGCCCACAGCCACCACAATGCCAATCTGCTTAGCTCGGACATCTCGCGGCGCAATCCGCAGGACGAGTACGAGCTCATCCAGAAGATTGGCTCCGGCACCTACGGTGACGTTTACAAGGTGAGTGGCATAACTTAGTATATGGCAGAAGGTCCTGGAGCTAGGCAAATGCCTAAAAAAAATCTAAAAAAAAATGCAACGCTAAAAATCCAAAAAACGAAGCGTGTGCCTCTGATTTAGAATGTTTCCTCGATGCTCCTTTGCCTTTTTTGCTGCCTTACTTCTCCCAGAAAGTCCTCATTCTCCCTGCAATTTTAGCATTCTTTAAGATGGTGCCAATGCACTGTGAATAAAAGTATTTTTAAGATTTATAAAATTCCAAAAGTACACAAAGATCTTGCCATAAACAATCAGAAGGTTTGGGTATACAGGAAAATCAATAATAAATTTAATATTTAATAGTTGAAAACCAAAAATATTTGGAAAAAATGTATTTAAATTCATTAAAATGGATGTAACTGGATTTTTAATCTTCTTTATACTTTTCAACAATAAATCCCCTATAATTTAGGAAGATTCCATGTCGAAATTTAAGATTCAGATATAAATGACTATTAAAATCTTTATAAGAAGCCATCCCAAATATGTTATATGAAATGGCGTATATTTTCCCAAGTGCAGCAAACGCATGTGCACCCTTCGACCTGCACAACCCCAACCCGCTGGCACACTCATTTGTACATCTGTTTGCCACTTCCATCTCCCTGCCGCTGCTGCTGCCGCTGCTGCTGCTGCTGATGGCAACCCCAACCACTCGGTACAAAAATATGCGCAATTTTAGTTTTGCTCCTCGGCTGCTTCTGCGTTCCTTTTTTTTTTACGAGTACAACACAATCCCAACTTGCCATGTTTACTTTGGCTGGCTCCGTCGTCGTCGATGGGAGGAAATATGTATGACAAATGCTTCGAAATGCCGACGGAGTTGCCCTTGGGCAGGGTGGGCGTGGCATAATGCAATTGTGGTTTGCCAAGGCAGTGGGGATTTATACATAGGGAATATATCTGGGGGAAAGATATACCGGGAGTCCGGCGACGAGCATTTGTGGTATTTCTCATCTGCAAGCCAAAAGGGGTTAAGAGCCCCTGTGGCATATGGACGAATGTGAGCCTTGGGTTTCGGGGGATTTCCTCTATTCGATTTATGGCGCTATCGAAATCTAAATATTATAAGCTTTGTGCCTTGCTCTCCGTCTGATTAATTTTCGATGAAATTGGGGATTTGATTAAGTTTTACAGACATAATGCTGGAATTTCCACTGTAATGCATTTTCCAAATGTGAAATTAAGCCCAGGGGTTTTATCCAATTTTATTTGGGCATAAAAAAAGCATATAAATCAATGTTAGGACTTTGAGAACTTGTATATTTTAGGTGATATTTATTTATTTGTTTAAATGAGAGGATTTAGCAATTTAAAATTCATGTTTGAGATTAATTTAGCTGCTGATAACGAATGTTAAGGGTTTTCCAGTAAATTATTCATTAAATTTGAACGGTTTTTCTAAAGAAAAAGTAAATTGAAATTCAAAATTAATTGCCAGAAGACTTTACCTAATGATAAAACCTATTTTATTTAAAATGAAAATTAAAATGTTAGTCTTCTTTACAATTATTAACTATTTAAGCATCAAAATACATTAAATTGTCTGGTAGAAGACTCTGTAAACTGTTAAATAACAAACACTGAATATTTAATTGCTTGTTTTTCGGTTTGTTTTATTTGGAAAGCTTTGTTATTTTGATTAAAATTTAATTGTTTTATTTTTAAAATGTCAATTTAATGGTCTCGCTCTGCTTTCATAAAGCCTTACTTAATGGATACTTAAAAAGTTTCTTCTATTCTTCGGCAACTACTACTTTATTTCACAGCTATCTTGGTCAAATATTAAGCATTGGAATGAAACTTCAAAGCCATTAGATGAGTGCTTTTTGCCAGTTTGATTCATTCCCCTTGCTCACTCGACTCCCCAATTGATTCGATAAGCAGCCACGCGTTTGCATTGATTATGGGGATTAATTTCGAATGTGTTATTTATTTATGTTTGCCCACATCTGTGTCCACATTTTGCCATCTGATTGTCTATCTTTCTCTCTCTCTGGTTCTGTTTTCTGTATCTCTTTGGTCTTTTTGTTTTTACCAGTTCAATCCATCGGATGCGTCATTCCGTAAGTTTCGGTTTCAGTTTCAATCCACCATTCCAATTTGACTTTTTTCAACTAGGTTCTTACTTAGCTTTTTTTTATTTTCACATAGCAACGGGGGAATTTTTAAGATGAGAGGAGCAGTTTTCGCCAAGTGAAAAACAATTGGTTTGGTGGGCAATTTTCAGTTCGATTTCCACCACATTGTTTACACCAAGTTTGAGTTATCATCTCATATAATCACACATACCAAGGCATTTGAAGTGCCAAGTGCAGGGCAATCGAATAATCATCATTGGGTTCGTTCTCATTTACATTTGTTTTTTTGCAACTCGTTTCGCGATATCAATTTACAATAGAAATAATAACACAGCGAAATGAGCAACAATGCGCCTTGTTGACAGGCTATTATGAATGGAATTGGGTTTCCAATGCTCTAATTTGCCTCTCTCCGTCTCCCTGCCCACTTTTTCCCTCGCTCGTTGATTCCTATTAGTGGCACAATGATCCAAAAATTGAGTGCAACAACAGCGAAAATAATAAGAAAACAAAATTAACACATCAACATAAAGTGAATAAACTATTTTTTATTAGAAAACTGATAGATAAATGGATGTTATATAGAAGAAGTATGATAAATAGTGATTGAGGATCTTGGAATTGCATGAACTTTATGAGCTATGATTCATTTTGGTTAAATAAAAGGTATTCCTAATCAAATAGGTTATTATTTTAATATTCAAACAATTATAAAGCTTGGTTATAACTATTTAAGAAATGAAAATATAAATACAAATTTTCGTATCCATTTTACTTATTTGTTCTTCCTCCATGAAAACTTTTTAAAAATCATAAGCAGAAATTTATTGAACATCTCGAATCTCTCCAAAAAGTTACTTTATAATTGCCCCAATTGAATTTTCTGTTAATTAATTAATTTTTAATTAATATTTATCCTGAGAGTATTTCGAGACTTTTCGATACTTTAAAACATAAATTTTCTTGTTGTAAAATTTCGCTCTCTGCACTTAATTTTTATTTCTGTGAAGGAGCACTAGAAGGAAAATAAATTGCACCTAGCCTGGGAGGCTAGCCAGGACAAAGAGGAGGCAAGGGGGCGTTGCACGGGGTTTTCATTACCGGAAATTCGAGAGCGAAACGCAAGTGGGAAAAGTAGGAAAAAAGTAAGTAAGGAGGAGGGGAAAAGGAAGCAGAAAAGTAAGGTAAAGAAATAAGGAATAAGTGAACTCTGCTGCTGCTTTTTGAGTGGAGCACAAAAGGAAAAGTGCCAGGTTACAGTTATGCAATGAAAACTGGCACAAATACTAGTGTGTACATAGACGCATACATATTTTATGCGTATGCTCCAGTATCGGTCTCCGGGTCTGTGTGTGTATGATTGCCTTTGCCAGGCACTTGACTTCGCCATACAATGGGCCGCATTGTTGTTGCCGCTGCCGCTGCCTGCCTGCCACACTTTAACAATCATCCTAGTCATTGTTGTTGCTGGTTTTTATTTTGTTTTTGTTTTTGTTTGTCGTTCTTTTTTTTTGTTTTTTTTTTTTTGTGCACGCAACACGCATGAAAACATGAAAAAATTGGCGCAAAGCTCTCAACGAGAGTGGGCAGTGGGTGGCGGTTTTTCCCTAATACCCTGTATTTGTAGATAAATGTAGATGTTTATTTTTTTAAATGGGATATTTTCTGAATCTCAACGATGTTTGGCCTCGGGAGCTTTGCTAGGACAGTACATTTTTTATACAAAAATTGAATAATGTCTTACTAAAAGAGATATTTTCACAAAGAAATCAATCCTCAGTACCGGGTATTTCATAGTTGTTAGTCTTCAATTTCATAAAACTTCTTGTTTCTTTATTTTCTGGATGCGAGGTCGCTCTGGAGAGGCTAGAGAAAATTACTAGAGAAAAGAACGAAGTGAAGTGAATTTGAAGCAGCGCCAGTTTTCCAGAAGTGGTCGGAAAATGGGCGGTTCGTGGGGGGTGAGGATAGGAAGGGGGCTGCATGGGGCGGCGTTTGAAGGAGGTCACGTATGCGACGCATGTGTGGGCGTGGCTCGATGGAACAAATGGATGCGTTTTGTCTGTCTGACTGTCGTGCGATGTGTGTGTGTGTGTGTGTGGTTTGTGTTTGCTGATTTGCTGCTTGTTTGGTTTGTTTTCACTCAAATTGCAATTGAAATTGCAGCTAAACATAAAGCTTCCCAGCCACTACCACCATCTCCTTCTCTTCTCTCTTATTTTCCCTGTCAAATTTTGCCATTTTCAATTGTGTTTTTCGAATCCCAAACAAAATCACAGCCATATCATTTGCGCTAAAAGCCCAACAACTTTGTCTTAGGCTAGACAACAAACAAACAGTAACGAAAGAACTGGGGGAAAACCCGGGAAAAATGGGGAAAAAGGAACTAAGACTAGCCGAAAATTGTTTGCCTTGAACTAGGCAAGGGGGAAAACAGAAAAGAAAAGAAAACAAAAAAAAACAGAAACCAGCCCGCCAAAAACAAATAGAAAATGTCAAAGGGTTTTTCGCAACCGCGCGCCGCATTTTCCACCGATTTGTGCGCTATGGGGGCTATGGCGAAAGCTTCCAGATCCTTGGGATTTTGCGTGGTCCTGCGTATAGTCCTGCCTGATTCTGGGGGTAATATGCAAATGGATCTTGACACGCCCACCACCAAATGGGCGAAAGGCAAACAACCAGCTGGGAGACAATTTCAACGCCTTCGCCGCATTTAAATGTTAAATGGGGAAAGCGCGTGGAACTCACACGTTTTCCTGGGACAGGGAAAATAAGGGAGTTTCACTGAAGAAAATATGTAGAAGGAAATTATTATTTTGAATTTACTTAAGAGATAAGAAAGCTGTGAAACTTAGTAATCAAAACTTAAAATCACTTGAC